GACGGTATGGTATTTTTGTAGATGCTCAGAAGCAGTCTAAAACTGGCTGAAACATGCTACTGATGGCTAGATCCAACCAGATCTCGCTCACCAAATATTCTTGCGACTACATTTATGAACTTGTGCACTTGCACTGAGCCTGGTAGGCTAATATATTTTGTTTTAAAAGTGCTAGGTACATGCACAGAGAAGGAACAGTTGTGGAGCGTTACAATGAACGGGCAAGGTGTGATGAAATTGTCACTCCGCCTGATCTCAGACACGGCAGGCAACGAGGGGCTCTCGACAGCAAGTCGCAACGATCCTACGCTCAGCAGTGCCACTGGAGGCTGTCAGTAATGCGCATGGGAAACCGGGGAGGACCTGGCAGGCCCCAGGTCCCCCGTATACATGTTCTCGCGTGTGCCTACGTGACTTAAGGTCGACCTTGGAAAGACGGCTCGGCTTCTCGGCAGCAGCACGACTCGACGGCATCTGGTGTGACACTAGTGTGACGAAATTAATAAACGAGGGAGCAGGTCCCATTTTGCGCACCGGAATCGATCCGCAGCTCTTGCAAGACCTCAATAAAATACAACAAAAATGCGAATACATAGTCAAGGTGTGCGCACATCGATTTATGCAAAACCGCTCACGAAGAGGGGTTGTGGTAAGCTACAAGAAGCAGATTTGCTCAATTTTTATAAACCAGGGTGCCATCATAGTATGCTTCAGACCGGAGGCAGTGACCACGCTGTACCCTCTGAGACTGTCCCGTCGTAGATGAGACGTTCGAGTTCGAAGCGTCCCTCTGAGAGTGCTGCTACATTTGATCCCGAGTAAGAGTTTCGGGTCGTCCCTGTCCTCAGGCCTCAGGTCGCGTGTCGTAATACTAATAGGAGTGCTAAAAGTTCGCGCGCGAAACCGATTCACGGCCGCTTCGAGAGAGTTCGAGAGTCGTTTCGAACGAAGTGAAACGCGACTGAAGCGCGCGTAGACTTTGAACAGCGGTACCCCGACCACGAGGGAGTAAAATCGAGTTGCTGGCGGCGTGAGGGACACATCCGCCTCATTCCTGATGATCTATATACACTCTATTATACCTGTAGCCAGGATGCTGCATGCTCTCAGGGAGCGAAGATGCCTCCAAGAAATGTTTGCATGGGGACATGCTTTTCATCGTAACATGCAGAAAACAAGTAGCAAAATTTTAATATAAAATAATCCCACTGTCACTACTCCATGTGCATGGGGCTATTACAAAATTGATGCAAACAGCACAGGAGGAGGGGGAGGAGGAGGGAGTCAAGGTCGGGATGAAGCGAGCTGGTCTGGAAAGTGAGCGAAAAGCGGCAGCCGCTCGACGGACGACCTCGATTCGAATCGTCGCTTCAGGACCCGGAACCGCGCCGCTTCGAGCTTCCGTTTCATCCTCCGAATTGCCATCAAAGCGAGTTCAAAACGCGTTCAAAGCGAACTTTGAACACCCCTACTGTGTTGGTTCAAGGGCCGAGCAACCTGACATATTGGAAGCTTCCGTGTCTCGGCTCGCGTCGTCCAAGCTCTGTACCGTCTGTCAGTCTCATGCAATTGATTATTCCTCGCTGTGGCCCAACCCTACACGTAGACTCGCCAGCCAGGTCCAGTCGCTGCGCTCCGTGGGGGACCACGTGCGTCTTATTGCATCCCATTTGGGCAAGGGATGCGACGGGTTTCACAAGAAACCGGCATGGGACGAGCCTATTAGTGATCCGGACCACTTGGGATGGGGGAGTCCTGGTCCAGCGCTCCTTATGGTCCAGAGTGGATGCCTTTCCACAGGGTTTTTTCAGATTCTAGAGTGTAGTGCGGAGTGCAAAATGCAGTTTAGAATCTCATAGTACCAGTCTATAAAACCACAGCAACCGAGAGCGAAGAAATGTAATATTTTGTTTTGTAAGTGGAGTCTGAAAGTGCGACTGGGGTCGACACGCTCGAGTGGATGCGTTTGCTCTGACTATCGCTTATAGACCCTAACATAACATTCCTCTGACAGCAGTTGGAAGGCGAGGACAAGTCCGCCGCTGATGAAGTGCTCCAAGAGACTGTTGTTGTGGCGGCATCACTCTTGGTCACCAGCCAATCGTGCTGTATACATGCGTTGGGTGTCGAGGGGCTCACCACATACCTACGTTGATCCCAATTTCACCCAAATGTGATAGACGACATCATAGGCCCCATTTTACAAGGTCACTGTAAACATCTAGCGAGATGGAGGGCGGCGTAAGCGGGGGAACAGGTGCAACGGTGCAGACGGAGTTTGAAACCATGTCTGTAAACGTAGAATCTAGTCTGCAAGGGGGGTCGGACCCCCCTTCCAGATTTCGAGTCTGTAAATGCAGCTGTTCAGACCAAAACTACGGTAAGTAAGATCTGCCAAGCTGCCATGTCCGATTTATTCCGGAATCTGGTCTACAAAGCTCTGTAGACAGCTGTGGAAAGGCATTCAGTGTCCAGTACGCTCGGGACCATTGTGTTTTTTTTCAGGCCCCTGGCACCCTCGTTGCAGTCCTCCAGCACCGGATGTTGTAGGATACTGTAGCGGAATGTATGGTAGCAACGTCACGCGTCACACACCACTACCCGCGTTTCTTATCTTGCTTAACGTCATGCATCACAGCCAGTTGGTTGCTAGTTTCTGTGCAAGTTGCACCTGCGGCGCCGCCGCCTCACGGCGGCGGTTTCTTGTTAGGCCTTAGGTCACAAGTCACACATGGCCAGTTGCCCGTTGCAAAGTGTCACGTTTCGCCCTCGGTTGCTACCATACATTCCTCTACAGTACGCGTACATCGGAGGAGCAAATATTCGACCTAATTAAAGGTAGTAAATCTCTGCGCAATCGAAGACTGAATCTGTTCCGATATATGTAGTACCTGCCAGTTGGTAAGTAAAACCTTTCTCAATTTGACGGTGCTCATCCATGCCTCATCAGGCCGCTCACTGTGTGTTGGCCTGGCATGCCCTCGACACATACCGTTGTGTTGCAGTGCATGTTTCGCCAAACGGTGCAGAGCACTAGAGGATTACGCAGTGTCAGATTGCTAACATTTATACCCTTGACAAGTGGGCAGGGATATACACTGGCATCACCTACACAGTTTCTTCCAGGAGGCGTGACCCAGCAGACGGTGTCACCAGCTGAAGGCTGGTCATCTGCCGCTCTGAGGACTCACTTTGTGCGCACATTTCTCCTGTGAATCGACTGTGCACAGATGACACTGTCCCTGTAGCACAGTTTTCGAAGACTGTTAGGCCTCTTGTGATTCCCGAACTGGATCATCTTAAGGTTGCCAATCATGTTGTGCTTTTGAGGTGACAGCTAAAGTCCAAGATCACGGGATGAAATTATCCTTGAAACAATTTCATCCTTGTTTCACTAATGATACTAGGTCATGGTTGCCAGTAGTGGGCAGCAGCAACTTCAAGTAACAGCGAGGAATGGTCTCCAAGGTTCGCTGTAAGTTCCACGAGTTCTGCACCGAGTCAATGGTGTTCCAAGGCAGTCGACAGTACGGAATGCCTATCCAGATACGCAGCCTGCTTGCCCGGCAATCCAGCCCTGTCACTCTCTCACAGACAATCGCCGATGCCATACCAGCTATGTCGTGAAGAACTCAGTCGTGGACATCTGGTCTTCTCAAGCATGGCAGGTCATTGGCAGCCGTTGCAGTTGGAAGCACTTCCCCATGGGCCTGTAGCACAAACGCATATCATGGATCCTTGAACACTCCCTTGCACCTCAACCTCTCCTTAGGCCCCCCCTCCCCACATCATTGCCGAGATCCATCACCCTTACTATCAAAGTCGATCGACTATCATCAACTGATTAGACTCGTGAAGCGCCCCCTTTGGTGGCAGCCACCTTGCTGGTCTGGGTGAGTTTGAAAGACCAAGATTTGTTTGGCAGCCTTCACAAGACTCAAAGCCCAAAACATTGCCTGTGCAACAAATTCCAGTCAACCTTGGGGTGCTATCTGAAGATGGTTTATATCAGAAGCAAGCAAAGGTGGCACTGCATGATTAATTGTGATTATTCTGTGCTCATGAAAGTAGCTCTCCCACTATGACTTTGTAACATCCGTGACTACCAGTATAAGTTTTGCAGCACACTGTGGCATTATAGTAGCTCATTAATATTTTAGATAATAATGGATGTCCTCCTAACCTTTTCAGACTCAGTCTTGGGCACAGATTGATGAAATAAATATATTTAGGTATGTAGCATGTATGGCACATGCCGGTATATGCTATGCTAGGTCCATCTGCTGCGGCAGGGGTCCCAAGGGATAAATGCAAGGACTCTGCCATGCATCCTATGCAGGAACTTGAAGCAGCGCTGGACACACACACCAACTGCTCTGCTGCTCCTGCTGTATCCATACAACAGTGAAGTGTTGTAGGCTGGGGGGTGCTGGTGCATCGTGAGTGGCTAGACGTGCCCTGCACAGGTGAAACCAAAGCTGCAGGTGCCCATGGTCATGCTCGTGCGGCCGGAGATGCCACAGGTGCTTGGAAAATCTGAGTGCAGTGTACATCCGATGCTTACGCATGACATGGGCAAGGCCACGATCAAAGTGAGCGAGGGTGAAATTATGGCATAGTTTGGGGCGCCCGACTTGGTGGCAGGGGTGGATGGTGGACATCATGGAAGGAGGTGCATACAGCTATTCTATCACCTAACACAAGCCCAGCACAACAAGGAGTAGAATGTGTAAACTAATGCGCTCACTAATCACTGCCATTGTTACCTGTGAGACATCACATCCTCCGTTGGCTCTGCACCCAGGGTGTACACATGTTGAGCCATGACTGGAAGGTTCTAACAGTTGGAGATAGATCTACCTGCCAGAGAAAAAGGAGAATGACAGCGTAGGATGATACAGCCCTTGACAGCTGAGAATATTCAGCAGCAACGCAGTCGTTGTGCTTTCAGCACTTGTGGCACGCGATGCTCAGCATATTATTCCTAAGCTTCTCATCTGTGCACGAGATGACACTCAACTTTTGTTATCTCATGACACCAAGACTTGTGCACCTGCTCCACATGTAATGATGTAATCTCGCTGCCCATGAGACAGATATAACTGACATGCAGATCTAGCCACCATGGTGGGCATTGGCTGCTGCGACTCTGTTAAGTTGTCATAGCACAAAAAGTGCAGAAGACTATGTGGGACGATGCTGGTTATGATGCAGTGAAGCTAGAAGGTGGTTGATGCATGGGTAGAGCCTAGCATGGAGAGCGTCATCGACTGCTGACTCATGTCGCTGATGTGTCAGCATCACGCAGCTTTGGCAAGCTCCGGTGAGTTCAGGAGTGAATTTCAAATTAAATACAGTAGTTCGAGATACCTTGACAAGCAAGGTAATAAGGCCTGCCTACACAGGGCCCCGGGAGATTGCATGTACCAGGTTTCCAGGGGATTGCCCACAGATCAACGTCCAAATAGCTGAGGTCCAAAATTTGTTCAATTGCTGTCCCACAACAACCAGATTTTGACCTGACAGCAATCTCACTCCAAACCTCAGATGGAATCAAGCGCCCACCGCCCAGCGCAGATTCGCAAAGCAGCTTGTCAGTGGGACGTGACGTGCAGAAGGCTTCTGCACCAAATATCAAAGATTTGTGTAGCAGCCCCAAGTGTATATATGATGTGCAACAAATAATGCTACCGAGCAGCAAGAGGTCTTGCTGTCTGTCTGCTCAGCACCACACGGTGGTCTGCAGGAAAGTGTCGTCGGGATCATGAGTATCATCCTGCTGATCTTCATAATGTTATCATGGTCCGTATCATCATCACATGTGTTGTGATGGCCAGAAAAACTATGACTATGCTTGACTTCATCCGTGGCTATAACCGTCTCCTGCCATCTGTCATGGCAGTCACAAGCCGGTAATGTCAGTGACACAACATCTGTCCTACAAGCGGGGAAAAGAACGCACTGCCTGGATCAGCATCTTTGTCATCCGATGCAAGTAAATGGTACGACGGATGCTGCTGCTCCGGCGTGCCTGGAGAGCTTGGCAGGGTGGCCGACACATTGCATCACAGTACGGGCCGCACTGGTGTAGTATAGGTCACTTGTAGGAGACAGCTTGGAGGGCAGTAGATGCGAGGTGGCAGGGGCAACTAGAGAAGCGAGGAACAGGTTATTAGAGGGAACTTGCCCATAGGCCTTCAATGTACCTCTGTGCTCCTCTGGCCTCACACGGGTGTATCCCGCTTTGTACCATGCAGAAAAGCTTTCAACTAAGAATTAGATTGTGAGACATACAAAATCCGGCTGATAGTGACCACAGCAGAGCCAAAAGTGTAATCAGACAAAAATCGAACGGATTTTGGACAGGAGCGCTCAGATTCTGCTGCAAACAGAATCTGGGTCACACGATTATCAAAATCCCGCAGATAGTGCCCAGGATGCTGTCCGCGGGGGCCCTGTGTAGGGAGACTACCCATTACCGCTGTCAGGAGCGCGACCCGCTCTGGACGGGGAATTCTCATTATCCATTGTTTAAATTCGTTTTTGCCGCAGGTGGCGTCATCCATGATTCATTGCTGACGTTTTTGCATCTCATTGCCGATTCGCGCGCGGTCTTGACGCTTGGGCCGCACGCTAAACAGAGCGACGCTTTCCACTCTTGACTGCCACCCACTCACCTTCACTCACGCACTGGCCAGCCTCCACAGCACGCTATCTTGAAAACCGAAGAGATCAATGTCAAAATAGTCACCTACCACGATAACGACGACGATGAGGTCAACTTGGCCAATCGCGTTGCATCTACCCTCTGCTGCAGTTCAGTTGCATTTTCGCTCAGGCACCATCCAGGACGTCGGTGTCGCAGGGCAGCCGCGGTTTTCCACGATCGTGTCAACGTCAGCTAACGAAGAGGCTCAGATACATGACACAGCTTGCAAATCATCATGCATCTCATGCAAAGGCTGGACCAAATTTGTTCGGGCTACGACAATACTCTTCCGGTATTTATTTATTTAAATATAATTTCTTTTCTATTAACGAGAAATATCAATCCCAGATATTCGTGTATGTAACGAGCTCACATCGTACGAAGATTCTCATCGCCCTCGCCACTCCAGCTTGTCCACCATTCGCTCATCAAATCGTTCTCTGCAAGCAGAAAAATAAGCTGTCGTCGCCGGCTGAACCAAACGCGAGGCATACCTTCTGAAGGTCCCAGCTGCTCAGCGCTTGGGCCAGACGTTCACGGTAGACCGCTTTGCACCCGTCGCATTGAATACTCGTTGCCACATTATCAAACGTCACCTCCATCGACGTCGTCGTTAGCTCTGTCATGAACGTCAGCATGACACAGGCACTGTATCTCGGCTTCGACTTACCGGGTCGTGCCTCCCATATGAGATACGCCGCGGCCAACATCCACGCCCGTGCCAGCCCGGCCTGCGACTCAGCGCTGCAGCAATCCATCGGCGGGTGACGGCTGGGCGGTCGGCGCAGGATCTTCTTCATGGCCTCCACGCGACGGGTCTGGAGCCCGAGTAGCCTGTGGAGGTACACGGGGCCCATACGCTGCGCACACTCCTCGGATATCGACGGCGGCGTGATGCCAAGCAGAAATCCGGACGCGTGCTCGGCAAGGTCGTAAAAGTTGAACTGTGCCGCGAGCGTGTAGATGAAGAGCGGGGCGCGGGGCGTGCGTGCGGCGAGGAGCGCAAAGAGCGGTGTCCCTAGCGCGGGGTGTACGTTCGGCTGCACGCCGTACGCATGCAGGCCTGCAACCGCGGCGCCGAGCATGTCATTTGTAGGGTTAAAATGGCCACAGGGAAGACCATAGACCGTATGCAGTATCACGTTAAGGACCTGCGAGTGCTCTCCCACGAGGAGCACTTGTGGCTGGTGCTCCGAATCGCCCTGGCGCATCCCGGGGAGCAGGTAGTTGAAGTTATTCTCGGACCGCCGGATAAGCAAGCCTGAGTGGACGTAGAAGAAGACAAAGTCCAAGGACAGCATGATTGTATCTGGGGTAACAGGAAGGATGCTGGAATTCGGGTGGAAGACGGCCGAGATCGTGACGGTCTGCCTTTCGTTCTCTGCATTATTCACTGCAGATGCTACTGAGGACTGCAGAGCTGGGCACGATCAGTGGTAGAAATTTGACAATGATAACGAGCCACGTACAGTCACGCTGCTTGTTGTCGCCGCAATGCGAGCGTCATCGCTTGCAGCTGGTGGTTCGGACATCATCATAGCCGTCTGAAACCTAAGAGTACGCTTAGTGCTAGCACTCAGCGCCGAATGTAGCTGTGGCTGCTGTACAGAATGGAAGGGAGGTCTATCTGCTGTCGAAGGTCGCCGGTGTGGTTTATATACGTCATCGAGAGGGCAACGTTTGCAGTCTACTCTGCGGGTATTTAACTACTTCGACGTATCTTAAATACGAACGAAAGGCGTAATTTGTGAATAAATGTGGGTAAACAACGTGAGCACAAGCTTGAAATTGGAAGAAAAACTTCAACATCTTGCACTGTCGGACACCTCGGGTGAGCAAGGTCTAGGTCCTAGGATCAAGCTCAAGGCTGGGGGCTACAAATGCGCCGGCGGGGCGCTAAATATAATAATGATGCGGACGGCGTCATACTCTCCCGGCTTACACATATCCCGCAGACTGACAACCCGTGCCCCGGCTGTGCATCCCGCGGGTCGACCTTCGCATACTTTGTCTCTACTACGGCTCACTCTCGTCCTTAGTTCCCCGGATATTGACGATGAATTTCTCTGCACCAGTACTGTTACATTCGGTGCGAAAGTCGTAGCAGCGAACTGGCAAGCGATGCCTCAACTCTGCTCACCGTCCAACATCCTCAAGCGACTACCGTCGAGAGAGGACTGAACACCAAGCAAGGATTCTCAAGAATTTCCTTCACTCTATCGCGTAGTCTTGGTCAAGTTCAAGCAATTGCGCCTGCAGCATTTGGAGACGTGCCCCTATCACGTCCTTGCAGCCGTTACATATCATCATACCCGGCAAGATTCCCACCTTCGCCATCACGGACTGGCTCGATGTATCTGTATGATGGATCGGTCAGCTCGACGATCCCCGGAGGTAGGGTAATCAAGGACGAACATCTGAACGGCTCACACGCAAAGTCTGACACGAGCAGCGTCCACGCATTCCGCATCGCCTGTTGGTCTAGTTCGGAGCAGTCGGGCATGGGCGGATGAGGCTCAGGCGGCGCACGCACGAGCCGCTTCACCATGTCCGCACGCCGCTCGAGCATGACAAGAAGTTTCTTGTAGTATAGTCCGCCCATGCGCTGCATCTGCGCGTCCGAGATGTCTGTGATCTCGAGGTTCTCCAGGTGCTTGGATATCGCCACGGCGAGGGGGTGGATGGCGTGCTCAGCAGCGAGCGTGTAGAACTCGAGCGGAGCGCGCGGTACGATGTTTAGCACGACGGCATAGGCAGGCATGGCGGGGGAGAGACACTGCTTCAGAGACAGCCCGTACTTGGGGAGAGCCTTGATGGCGGCGATGAGGGTATCAGCATCGGGCTGGTACGGTGCGCAGGAAATGGAGTATACTGTGTGAAGGACGACGTTGACGATAGCGGCCGGCTCTGACAGTGCGATAAGTCGATTGTCGCTGTTTTGGTCTCTCTTGGCCGACAAGATGGCACCGAACATGTTCATAGATTCGCTGAGGATAATGCGGGAATGGACATAGAAGTGTACACCATCCGATGAGACGAAGATGACATCTGGCGGACTGGGGATAATATTCGCGCGATGAGCGAAGGCGGTGGAGCAAGGCACGACAGGGAGGTTGGAGCTGGGATGCGGATCCAGTCCCTGATGAGCCAAACTAACATTGAGCTTCAGAGAACAAATGAGAAGCCACAGAGCGTACTGACAGGACCCAATGGCTGTAGAGGCCGCATAACTGAGACAGACAGTGCCTGCTGGGGCAAAGCGGCGATAGCTTGCATGGCGTGTCGAGTCGAGTCAATGTCGGCTATCCCACAAGGCTGATTACGAATGGAATGTCGGCCACACCGTGGTTGGTAGAGAATGGCGAGGGCGTGTAGACCACTAGAAAGCGGCTTTCTGACCTTGAGGAAGATCTTGGAGCCTAGGCCCAACCGGCCCAACTTAACGGCGCGTATCTTTGCATGCAACCTCCAGGTTGATGCACAGGGTAGGCTCAGCCTGCAAGAAACAAATTTGACAATGAAGAGGCTCACCGTTTAGGGGGAAAGAAAAACCATTTTGTTTGTATTACAGGGTTGCGAGCTGACGGTAAGGAGGAACGACGACCTGTGCCAAGGAGGTGAGCCCAAATCGAGCCGCGCCTGCCCAGAGCAGCCAAGCGCCGGCGCTATGCGGGAGGTCGAAACCTCGAGCAACCCCACCGCAGGGCACGCTTAGGCATGGCGGGTTCGCCAGAAAGTATAGTCTCTGTCTGCAGTCTCTGCCAGGCTGACCGCCTCTCGTGCGATTACTGACACATGCGTCACCAGAGGACGCAGGTATCAGTGCTTGAAGACGGCGACAACGGAGGCATTGCTCTCTGCTTCGTAGACGTTCGCATTAGCCGGGCCTATTTGACCTCTGAACTCGGGACGCCGTAAATCATGTTATGAGGCCACAACACTTGAGTCTGGTTTCCAGGGCGAATCTCGGTAAATCTCATCACTCGAGGCCGACGCTGAGCACTGAGAGCCACCGTATCATTCGCCCTTAGGCCGTTCTTCGAAGTAGGTCCTCTTCATGTGGAATGTGACGCAAAAGAAACACCAGCTGATGAGCGAGAATGTTCATTTCTAGCGGTTTGAGTATCGAAGATCATGGAGTCTGTGCTGGAGGAAGCCGCGTACGAGTTTGTTCAGAACAGCACTGCAAAAAGACAAGGCAACTCACAGCACTCATGTGTGTTCGGGCACTACGGAATATGACAGGATGGCCTCATGAATGAGCAGGTGGAGCCGTCCGGATCCTCTCTCGGACGATGTCGGTCGCAAGAGGACCTCGATCTAATAGCTTAAGTTATCATGTGGGCGGCATGATCATAAGCGCGCTCGCTCAACGACCTTCGGCGGCCAAGGGGAGCGGCAGGGGGAGGAGATCTGGCAGCTGCTCGGGTCAATGGGCGTCGCCCGTGACAGTGAGTAAGATAATTTATACATGCGGTCAGCTCAGCTCATTCATGAACTCAGCGAATGCCACCGACAGCATGTCTTCACAGTGGACGGTGCTGATGTTCGGCTTGATCGCCCTAGAATCTACCATGTGACTCTCCGCCACTCACATCCGGTCTCCGAAGGCCCTCGAGTTCCGGATCGAGCTTTTCAAGCCTTTTGCCAACGGCCTCGATGAAGTAGCCTGCGTTTTTCGAATCGTGCAGCCGTATGACTAAACTCAGGAAACGAGTGCTTTCCACAGTCCCCATTTTCGCGAGCCAGATAGGATTTCCTCCATCACGTGCGAGGTATGGAGGTGTAAAGGGCGTACCGAGCAATTCGCTCTGCGGCTGCGGGTCCGAAACGCTCTGCAGGGCGAGCATGGCTGCAACGACGACAGAGCAGGCGCTCGCACGCGGACAACAACGCATGTAGGATTTGGAGACCCATGAAGTGGCCTGAACGTGAGGGTACAGACGGTGACCAAGTTGGCAAAGCTAGATATGATGCCCGCGCTGAGGCTCACATCTTGGTCGCACAGCTGGGTGAGTTCGGTGGGTTTCAGGTCGGCTTCGAAGTCTCCCTCTGGTCGGACCCAGGCGACCCGCCACATATGCATCCTCATCGTCCATCACGCCCCCCCCCCCCCCCTGGTAGGCTTGGCTCTACGCCTCGGATGGCGGACGTGCCGTCCCTATTGTAAGCATAGCTCGTGATCGAGGCTCATCTCGGCGATGAAGACGAATTTATCGAAGGCATGTAGACGGCTGATAATCCGCCACAGGATACAGACGGAGGACACAGCCTTCAAGGTTGCCTGGTCTGCTCGGTCGCAGACGCGGCCAACAGCCTTGACGACCAGCTCTAGAAGAGAATGAAGGTCTACCATGATTGGCGACGTGGTGCAGCTCTCGAAATCGACTCATCGATGGTGGCCGGAGTGATGAAGAGAGGTGTGGCCAGGTACGTCGTCCAACTGCTGATCTAGGGAACATCGGGGAGACCTTTGGTCATGGAGCCCGGTTATGATGGCGACGTAGCCTTGGCCGATATGGGGAGGTGTGCTCTAGTCCAGGGGATGGCGACCAAGTTGACTTGGCGCAAGGACCTCAACGGGCAGTATAGAGACACATGACGTTCTACGTTATGTCGGCTTGCAAGATTTGTAGAAGAGGCGTGGTGGAAATAAGACGGTGAGTCGGCTGTCCATGATGGTGATGCTGAGGGTCGGAGGCGCAAGAGGAGCCGCTGATGTCGTCTGAGGAGTCTGAAATCCGAACTTGCATAGGGAGTCGTGGGAGAAGACGTGCGGGGGGGCCTGAGGAGATGTGGTGTAAAAGAACGTAAGGTAAATGGCGCACGCGCCGGGGAGGCGGAAATTCCAATCAGCCAATCCGTCACAGCAGCAACCACTATCCAGACAACAACGCGACGATCTCGCCTCAAGCCACATCCCGCGCTTATTTTCCTCTTTTCTAGGTCGCCAGACTCAGCCTACATGTTCTACTATCTTCGCCATGCTCTGGTCACCCCGTCCTAACTCTTACCATCGATATCCGAGTCTCCCAAAGGCCGCGTTATGAATTGATCGGCGGCGGGGGCGGAGAGGTGCGCACCAAGGACGTTCAGAGTGAAGCCGTACGTGCTGACTTATCCGGCCTCATGCATCAGCAGCGAGAGGTTTGTCATATTTACTGCTGTCTCCCAAGGCATCCGCCGGACAGTGTTCTTCCGCTGGGCTATAGCGGTACGAACTCGACATTGCACCGGTAGCAGCACGCCAGAGCGCAAACGCCGCAGCCCTGAATCGACATGGTCAACACGACCACAAACGCCGTCAGCACTGGTCGGTACGTCCCTTTTGCGAGCTTTTGACTCGCTTTCCCCGGTGGTATGCGAGCGACACGCTCTTTCCTACTCTCTGGGCATCGCTGACCCGTAGACGTACGAGCTGGGCGTATTGCAGACCCGAAGATGTCTCGCCCTCGCTGATGTTGATTCGCTTGCGGACCCGCGGCTCAGCTATCTGAACCCGAGTTGTGCTCACAGAATACTTTGCTCTTGAAACTATCTACATACTTTCTGCGATTACCCTGCGAGTGTCTCAGTTGTCGATATGTGCTTGAATCGAACCGCTTTTTCTATCCACTGTGACCGCAGGCGGCGCGTGTTCTCTTATCTGCTCCACAGTCCTGATGAGCGCTCCCGTTGTCGTCTTACCATGTCGAAAATATCTTTCTTGAAAAACACTCAGCGGACGGCCCTTAAGTTTTTTTGAAGATGACCAGAACCTCTACTCGTGTCAGATGTCCAACACTAGGCCGAGGCCGAGGTGGCTGTGGATGTCAGACACATACGTAGGGATAACATTGCAGACTCGGCCCTCATGTCGTATATCGGTTTCTGCGGAGCAGCTGACACCGCAGACCCAAGGAAGAGTACGTGGGATGATTTCCCTGCAGGTCAGAGGCAAAATGTCCTTCACAATATGCAGGGAAAGGCGTTTCAGATGGTGGACCCCTGTGGCACAAGTGTGGAGAGAAGACAGGCTGTCAATCGCCAAAGCTCTGCGAGATGCTCACTAAGCATATTCCCGATCTCTGATACGCCGTGACGACCTCGACTGCGCCGCTCTGCTTTCTCCTTGTTCTGAACCCGTTTAATGTGGTATCCCACGCGGTTGAATGAGATCTTCGAGGGCTATAGGGCCCGCTACCTGAATGCCGCAGGCAGCGAGAGGGGATTGGACAAGTGCAGATCATGCATATTTTTGCGGCAGGTCGACGAATCAGGAATGCATCAGAGAAGCTGGTGACCTAGAAACAGCGTATGTTTCGACCACGCCTGGCCGCCTAAGATGGCAAAGGACTCAACGGTGATTGTGCCGCCGGAAAAATGGAGACTAGGGGGCGGGGACAGGTACGGCGGGGACAGAGACGGTGGGGACAGAGACGGCGGGGACAGAGACGGCGGGTTTTACGATATGAGGATATAAACCGATAGGGAAAATAAAACAAAGGGACATAGGGAAGAGGCTGAAAAGCTGAAGAAAAACTCGAGGAATAAACGCACCCGACGAGTTTTATGCGAGCGGACACCATTAGCGCCGACGTCATTTCTGACGCGGACCATAGTATGCGCCTGGATCGTGTCATAACGACCGTCAGGCGCATCAAGCAGGACATCCCTGGGCAAGCCGACGCTCTTGCCAGCTCCACGAGTACGTCTATACAGACTCAACTTTATACACAGTCATGCAGAACTAGACAGGGATTGTAGCTCACCAGACTCGAAGTCTGCCACCTGCGCTCGCAAGGATGCTTGGGGTAGCTTGAGCGAAATCTATCGAACGGCAATAAGGCTGCATCACGTCGCTTTGAGCTGTAGGCTTTGTATTTGCGATTTGGCGACAAACGCACCTCGGGATATTTTCCGTGCACTCTGCCCAAGTTTCGGAAGTGTATATTGATCTGCCCCAACGTTGGAGACAGTCTAGTCTGGAAGTCTCAGAGCATCACTGCAGGACAATGACGGACCCCTGTCAGACTTCTCATTATGCCACTTGTGCCTACTGCTACCACAAGAGGGTCAGTTCGCTGCTCTGTGATGTCAATGGGGCAAGCTTGCTTGGTCAATTACCAGCCCTCGCCACCTAGAAGTCGACACCGTGTAATGTGCGATAAAAGAAGATAACCCACCAGTTTGTTGTTTGCACACGCTACATTTTTTTGGTCTTTCCGACTGTACGGCCTCACGTACGGCGTACAATCTGAGGCCTGAGGCTTTGTGGCGCCAGAAAGTGTCGCATGAACAAAAGACCGAGAAAACAAGATCTCGATCGCCCTTGCCGCCCTCATGTACTTCTCTAGACCTCATACAGAACCGACTTCAATGAAAAAGCGCGACAGGACTCTTTGATTCGCATTTTCGGCCGAAAGACGAGGGTCAATAAGTGAAGAGATAAGCAGAGGTCGAAATGTAGCCGTTAGTCTCAAGCAATCGTAACACTTCGCAAATTGCAACGTCGCTAGGGGCACGTGACCAGACAAGACGCGCGCCTTGTTCGCAATATTTTGTTCTACGAGATTTTTCAGACATCGTGCATCAATCGCGGGTCAGCATAATAAACACGGTCCCCAAATGAGGTGCTTAGGCACTATCGCGGTAGTCGAGCTTTCAACTGACACTGACTTCACTTACATCACTTCGACTGCACGGCGTCAGGTCTAATTTTGTACTCACCGCCTCACCGGAGATTGGCAGAGAGAAGCTAACAAGGAGCTATCGTTATGCCTGTAAGGCTTAACGACTGAAAATCCCATCAATCCCGCCAGAGCACGGGCCTGAGCCGACAAAGTACAGAATACTCCCACTGCCGTATTTCCCGATAAAACGGTAGATCAGCCAGTTTTATGATCCAATGGTAGATATGACAATTAAGCTCCAGAATGCAATTCCAGAAAGCCACAGGCCAAATTAATTACATTCCTATTAAAAAAGCGCTCTAGAAATGAAAAGCGGGGAGGGTTGGGGGTAGGGACGGTATTACACGGAGCAAAAAAAGAAGATAGTACAATATACCATCAGGTATTCGTGAGGAGACGTGAGAAAAAGTTTCGTAAAGAAGTTTCGTGAACTGCGTGGAATCGGAGTAGGAGAGCACAGGCGCGGGCTTTTACTTGTGTGCCCGTTGAGCCCGCGCCTTCATCTCCTACCACCCAACCACTCTCTCTGCTTAGACAGCACCGGCCTCCTGAGCCTTGGTCGGGCGCACCGGGGCGGCAACGGCATCGCTGTACTTGCCAGAAGCGAAGCCGAAGGACTCGTAGTCGACGGCGCGGAGTTGGAACAGGAAGAACGACAGGAAGACGGGGCCGGTGATGAGATCGAGGATACCGTACCAGATCATCTCGTCCGTCGGGGTGATGAGGTTGGAACCCTCAGAGCATGCCCAGCAGATGGGGTACGTAAGGAGCATGAAGGACACGTAGCCCGCGGAGAGCCAGTAGCCGGTCCTGAAGGCACCACCGCCGGGGGACGAAGTGCGCGGGCCGTTGACGAGCAGCGAGTACCTGAGTAGACATCCATTAATCTCGTGATGGAGCGGTAAACATGAAGCTAAAGCTTACCAGACGTAGAAGAGCGCAACGGTACCGAAGGTGAAGTAGGCCCACTTGTAGGTGCTGTGGACGAGGGAGCCAACCAAGCCGCAAATGACGACGACCTCCGACATGAAGAGCGTGGTGAGAATGTCGGAGACCGAGAGACCAGTCGTGAGGAGCAGCGACAGGAGGAGGAGCGGGAAGGTGATGAACCACTGGATGTACCTCACATACTGTGTACCAAATTAGAGCACTGCTTGCGCCACAACTTGCGAATTTACTTACCCAGATCTGGCGGGTTGCGGGAGCACCGGTCTCACGGAACTCAGTATCGATGCCGGCAGCACCGAGGTCAGAAGCCATGGAGAAGTAGGCGATGGACGTCGTAGTAAGGATGATGACCGCAAGGTTGTGGAACAGACGGGTACCGCGGGGACGCTGCAAAAGACGCTGTCAGCCCTCGACCTGTTGGTTGAGAGGGCTGAACACTTACAGTGAGGGTCAGACCGATGACCAACAGGAGCACCAAGGTGTTGAAGGAGAACATCGAGAACAGCCAGTCCGAAGCGTGGGTGGTGATGTGGAACACGGCATCGGGCGGGTTGAGGTCGAGAGCGTGGTTACCCATGGCTGTTTACTGCTACTCGGATGCACTAAGGAAGGTGGGACGAGGCGGTAACTCCGAAGAGAGCTGGGATGTGTTGGGTGAGCAGAACACTGGGGACTGACGAAGGGAGCAACAGACCTTTTATACACGGAGTAGGCAGCAGCCTCCATCCTTGCCGTCTCGCAGCTCGGATCGAAAGTTGCGAGCAAGAGAGGCCGCGGTCCCCCTACGTCCGCTGTGTTAGCGCATAGCGCTCTGCACACACATGCCGGACGCGTGTTGCGTCATGCGATAGATTTAGTCCGCTGGACGCCGGGGTGGGAACAAGAGTGGCTGTATCTGCTTATTATCGTCCTTGTCCGCTCTGTCGTCGGACGTCGGTCCACCGGTGGCCACGTTACGCGGGTTTTATTGGGCGCCACAAGGCTACCGCTTGACGACGCCTGCCCCTCGAAGGTGAAATTCGTAGTAAATCTGGAAGCAATGCAACATCGCATGGATTAGCCTGCAGCCCGTCGTGAGACGCCACGCCCAGCTGTGGGTAGCAAAAAACTAAAAGTGAGCTGCAGGGACGCGCAGAGGCGGGATTCTGCGGAGTACTCCGATCGTCCGAATGTCTAGCGCTTACATGAGGTCGAGAGCCAGTGCGCCCTAAGGGAGCTTGTATGAAACTCAATCAAGCTGCTCGGTCGTTCTAGCACGAGTGAGCATCCCAGTTGGACACATCTGACGTTAGATGGATCTGGGCTGACTCATCCCCGAGTCCAGAGGTTCTGGAGTTGCCCACGCGACGACTTCTCGAATACACTCGCGACGAGTACTGGGAATCGAGTCACATACGACGAAGAGGACTAGACCCGAGGTTAGCGCACGCTAGCGGCGGAGGCAAGTGAAAGGAACGTAACAGCAGACAAGGTCGGGGGCACCTAGAGTGGGACCAGCGTAACTAGAACACTTCGCGCCGTGATGGAAAGCGGTTATGGCGCACAAAGTGCGAGTCTGAATAGAAACACACCACAGCATCGCTAGCAGAGTTCGGGGGATCCTGGATTGATCAATACGACGGCTATGCACTTGGCGGTCTATTCTTGGGCTTTCCTGCTGTGCTCCGGAGGTCGTCCCGCCTGCTGAGCGGGGTGTCGGATCTGATGAGGGACAACAATAACACGATTACAGTGGTATACGACAGCACACAGCGAGGCGACAATGATGGTGAAACAGAAATCTGGGTCCAGAATGTATTCTAGCCAAGTCGGTCCGCGAAGTCTTGTGCAAATATGGAACGTGTTGGGTCTTCATTGACCCGCTCGTCCTTGAGCATGCTGGGTGGTGTCAGACGCGGATTAGTCCTCGCAATACGGGTAGGCGGGTCTGCTCACCGAGCATTGATACGGGGGTCATCACCCTCAACGCCAAGCGCGGCTTGCGGCGTCTTCGCCTCAACAACCTTTACACCAGCGGAAGTCAGCGAGGATCCGGCGGACTTTGCGAGGCAGGGTCGCAGGCCGCACGGGAGCAGCAAGTGATCCATGAGACTCAAGCACGCACATAGTGGTTATCGCAATGTGGGCAATATTCGTCACTGTCTTCGTAGCTTGCCATGTCTTTACGAAACGCCTTCTTGCATTTCTTGCACATGAAGGCCATCTCGGTCGTCTTGCGCAGGCGGTGGTCCTGACTTTCTGCGTGGCACTCCGCGCAATCGAACCACTGCTTGCAGCACGGTGCACGGATGGCTACCTGAGCGTTCAAAATGTGTTTGCTGGGATAGATAGGCATTGGTAAGATAGTTCAAAAGGGAACACGAGAAAGACTCCAGGGCCTGCTCGTTCCAGTCAGAGCTTCACAGCGCTCGCACAGTCGTGGTCGCCGGCTGAAACAGACCCTGGACCAGACAGCCTCAGACAGCCGACTGACCACATTGCAAGAATAGTAGAAAGAGTACGCAGATGGTCACCAGAGGGTTGAGTGCGGACGCGTGCGATGGGATGACGGTTGGGGAAGAGATTGGCGATCTCTCGCAGGCCTTGCCCATCTCGCACTTGCCGCTCACCACCACGTTCCCCACTCCCGTCGCATTTTTGCGCGGCCGGACGACCTGCAAAGCCAGTTCCCAGCACCGTTTGGCGAATACCCACGCCGTCGTTCTTGACGAAAGCGGCACGATGCACGCCTGATACGGCGGCGGTTGAGCTCATTTCTCTCTAACACGAGGCGCTGAGAAACGGCTGGCACTCGCCGTCGCCGCCATCTTGAACACCACCAAGATTCGCTCCTCTCACCGACGACGACGGCACCAGGCTGGTCAGAGGTATAGGCCGACGCACTCGGCAAGCGAATGGCGTGCAGCGCGACCCCGACGACGACGCTGTACACGTCTATCGCGAGCACTAGCATCAGCCACACTTTCTCAGCAAGCGTGACCACACTTCCGCCAGTGGTAACGACGTTCACGACTGAATCATGCTCAGCGACCGGGACGGACCCCCATGATACAGGCTGCGTGACTATAGAGGTGGCCGTGGTGAGCACCGTATTCGGTAAGTGCTCGCTCTCGCTTGTACACCCATCCCCCGACAATTCCGCGGCATAACAACACTGGCATCTGAGACGCTTTGTGGCATACACTCTGCATGCAGCCACCAACAAGAGCTCACGTCGACGACGGACGCTCTGAGTGGGAAAATCAACGTCGTCATCCCTGACGAGTCATGATCGCGCTTCTCCCGTTACGTGCCCTCGAAAGTCTGCTTTTTCCCGAAATTGTTAACGCCACTGCTTCTTGTTTGTAGCAGGAGGGCCCTCGACAATCCAGGTGCCACTAGCAGTTGTATATGAATTCACACAAGTGTCCCCGACCGCGACTCTCTTCGCGTCATGTTCAAGTCAGGAACTACCATCCGACGCCCCTTCATCAGCGTCCTCCACTACGTCTTCCACTGCTTCTACTGCCACGACAACGACCATTCAGCAGTCCGGTCCATCGTCTGTATCAGGCCCTTCAACATCAACGCCATTCTATACATCGCTTATAACTCCAGCGCCCTCGGTAATTGTGACCACGCAAACAACTACGCAGTCGGATGGGTCGGTTGTGTATGTTTTGACGACGTATACATCAACTTTGGCCCCTGTGTCAGCGCTATTTCCCAGCTCTAGTGTTGCTGGAGGTTTGAACTCGCATCATTCAACCAGCTCTAGCTTCATTGCTCCAGTGGTTGGCGGGATTCTGGGTGGCTTCTTCGGCTTGATAGCGATTGTAGTATTCATCTGGTGGTTATGGTACGTGAATATCGCCATATATACGCGCATATACTGATTCGTGGCGCAGGCGACGCAGAAGCTGCATATCACGACCTCCAACACCGGACCTTCCGTCGATGGCCTACAGAGACGGATCTAACCCGATGAGGCCAGAAGACAGCACCGAGCCAAAGCCATATCACTACGGTGGGCTCGGAAGTCGCAATTCGCGTGGTTCTTCCCGTCCAAACTCGCCGCAGGCCCGCTCCTCTACGTATTCGCAGAACAACCCACCAACGACACCGCACTCCATGAACCGCTCGAGTACGGGGCTGAGCTTCAACCAAAGCGGTGCGCCGACCCCCACCTTCTTTGCCACGACGGCGATCGCCCCAGGCCAGAGCCAGCCGAACTCGCGGTCATCGACGCCAGGGCACTTCCACTCGTCCTCTACGGTACCGTCCGCGTACATGCGTCAGTCCTGGCCACTTTATGCCAGCGACGGCGACGAATCCGACAGTGCGAGCTCACCGATCATGTTTGGCAAGCGCGAGCGGCGGCCGTCGCGGCTGTCGCTGACACTGTCGATGATGGACGGTACGCGCGAGAGCTGCGACGGCGGGGCCGGCCCCAGTGGGCAGAGCACGGCTGGGAGCGTAAAGAGCGGCGACATGAGCACGGAGATTCATGTGCCTGAGCGCTCGCGAAGCACGCTGTTTGTGGTGAACTCGGAAGAACCGAAACAGCCTGCGTTGGCGGTGCCGAGTACAAAGCAGGGCCAGAGTCAGTCCGGGCACAGCGACGAGGCGAGGAGCTTGTACGCGCGTGCTGGATAAGTATAGAACCATGATAGTTATTGCTGTGTTTATTCATATGGACTATCCCCCTCATTTGTCTTTCCATCTCTTTGCCTCTGTCTGCTGCAGTAACTTCATCTCAGTCATATTTAGCTCTATTCGTTGTCATACTTTCCTTGCAGTGAAACATGGACGCGTTCGTATATCCAGCACTCTTCTCCTGCTCACACTCTTCCTATCAATCAAAATAACAACTGCCACACATCATGCCCTTTGTTGTCCTAATATTGTACATCTATTTTTTCTCAAGCACCCCTAGACCTTAATAAAATTACACGACCCCGGCAGCCCCGCGACATCCATGTTGCGTTATGAGTAGCCTTGACGCATCCGATGTCGTCCTATTCCCGAAGGTATATATACTGTATCATCCCCGCCTCAGGCGTCATGTCGATTCTATCCTTCCTTCTTTCCTCCCTTTCTTTTTTACACCCATATCGCATATTGTACTGCACATTTGCTAACGAGCCGTTCCGCTCCTGAACGTTTGAACGTTGATCTTCAGAGCAATTCAGGCCCTTAGCGGGGTGATATGATCAACATGCGACGACGTCATGTAGGTCCAGGCACATGTGGTTGCATCTGTCCGGGTGAATGACGTATGGTTGTTGTACATAAAACACGGAGGAGGGATCCGAGAGCGGAATGTGAACAGCACGGTGAGCAAGACCACCGGGTGAGCCCGGTTTGCTGATCTCAGCGATAGAGCGTGCGGAGAGAGCCTGTGTCCTTGTCCGCAAGAATGACTTCTGTCATCGTTATCGTCCACGGGACGCCCGACGCTGCGTCGGCCGACCATGCGCATTGTGGGTAATAATTGCCCTCTGCCATTACTCGAGACGGCGCCTGGGATATTCGAGGACCGTGCGTGGCAGCCCAGGTCGCGCCGAATGACCTCAGCGCGTCGGGACTATGCCCGACTCACTGTACGAAACGTTCCGAACGCGGGGAGCGTGCCATGCTTGCCGGCATACCTACATATTTTAGGTGCATTGCACACTTCAAGCTTCTCCCCAGTCATTTCCCGTACACTCGCATAAGAGCTTTCTAGCACAGGTCGTAGACCTTGGCGCAACTTCACGTTTCCCTTCTACCTGCTCTTCCCTCTCGACACCCAGCCATGTTTGTTCCACAATGGATCGTGCGCAGGAACGATGCGCTTGGTTCGAATCCACCCGACGCGCAAGAGCACATCAGTGTTAATGCCTCCGACTGGCTTTGGGCTGCCTTCTCGTTCATCACCGTGTGCACGCTTGTGATGGCAGTCTTCACTCTCATAGTAAGCATCGCTCCGTCGTGCTCAAGCAACCCGAGACTGACGCTGCGCGCAGAGGCCACGGGGTAGACGGGTTTTCCACCAGATCGCATTCATGATCATGTTAACGACCTCCGTTGCCTACTTCTCCATGGCTTCCGACCTTGGCTCTACACCCGTCCTGACTGAGTTCCGCCCTCCCAACGTGACCCGCCAAGTATGGGTAAGTCGTTTCTGTAGGGTGATCACTCGAGCTGCCACTTACTCTGTGGTTTAGTACGTGCGGTACATCCAGTGGTTCATCACCCTCCCGCTGTTGTTGCTTGAACTCCTGCTCGCTACCGGACTGTCGCTCGGTGACATCGTCACGACCGCCTTTGTGAGCATGGTCCTCGTCGTCATGGGCCTTGTCGGGGCCCTTGTCCCGAGCACCTACAAGTGGGGCTACTACGTCTTCGGTGCTATCGCCCTCTTCTACATCTGGTGGGTCCCAGCCAGCATCATTTTCGTGAACGAAGAACTGATGTGCTCCAAGGTTCGTGCTCCTTTGGCAGGCACCCCGCTGTACGTTCGCCGAGGCAGGCACGCTCCGGAAGGGCTACATCCTCTCGTCGGCATACCTTGCATTCATGCTTATCACGTATCCCATCTGCTGGGCGTTGTCCGAGGGCTCGAACATCATCAGCCCGAGCTCGGAGATGATCTGGTACGGCATCCTCGACATCATCGCGGGACCTCTCTTCCTTTTCCTCTTCCTCTGGGAGCTCCGCGGCGTCGAGTACCATGTCTTCAGCTTCCACTCTGGCAAGTACACCTACGCCCACAGCAGCTCTGGGCGCCCGGAGAAGGCACCTATCGCTTAAAGCGCGTTCCCCCCCTTCAGTCACCGTTCATTCATGATTATATATGACCCATTCACGACCTTTTGACGGTGTATAACGACAAAAAGCACTCCATATTTCACATTTCTTCATCACGCTTTCGCGTTGCATTACGGTACCTAGATATCCCTAATACTCGCTCTAATATCGTGTATCCTACGACTTGTCTGTAACATATCACTTGTAGTCCTAGCATATAGCACGCTTTAATCGCGATCTTTGCAACCACGGCGCGAGGGAGTAATACACTCAGAAAGGCCCTTCGTCGAATGAAGTGCCATCCATGCGAACACCCATATTTTGCTTGACATCCATCCCGAGCAGCTTCATCTTACCCACCTGCGCAGTTCAGTTAGCCCAATACACCCACAATGGAAGCGGTACGCACTTCTACACGCTCTGCCTGCACCTTGCGGAGTTCCATGAGCTGCTCACGCGTCAGGAATGACTCGCCCCGCTCTTTGGGCTTACGACGGTGGGCGCCTTGAAGCGCGCGCATGTCCGCGTTGGGGTCGTACCCGTCGTCCGTCGGCGGAAGGAACTCGCCAGCGCGGAGCGCAGCCATGCGGGCCTCGTACGACGCAATGTTGTAGAACTTCTCATGCGAGAGCGTCGCGGTGTTGTAATCCTCGGTGAAGCGCGCGAATTCCTTTTTTGTTTGGTCCTTCGAGATGGTCTCCGGGTTGATCATGCGCTCCTCGACGAGCCAGGCACGGAATTCAGCTTCTTTGGTGTATAGGCTGGGTGATATGGATTAGCATGCTTCTCCAAGCGGCGGGAGATGGTGCAGGCGTACTCTGTCTCGCTGATGATGCCGTGTTTACCCCACTGTGCACCGACGGAATGGTCACTCTTCTTCTTCTGTAGATGCTATAGTATAAGGTAAAAGTAGCATACGGTGCACAACTGCGCACCTTCTTGTCCTTCTTCTCTTTCTTCCGCTCCTTTTTCTCCCTATCCTTGCTCCGGCTACGCTTCCGTTTGTGGTGCTTGTGCCCCCTCTTGTGCCGCCTACCATCCGACGAGCTTGACGAGCTGCTCGAAACAGAACGAGAGCGCGAGCGAGACCTCCTGCGGTCCTTGCGCTCGCTCCGGTGGCGTTCGCCGCTCGGAGAGTATGAGCGTGAACGTGAGGGCCTTCGCTGTCTTGAACGTGATGTTGAGCGACGCGGCGAGGGGGACCTTCGTCTGGGGCTGCGGGAGCGGCGGAACTCGCCCTCTTCTCTGTCTGCCCGAGAGCGTCGCTCTTCGCATCGGTCTAGACGTCCGTCCCGAGAGTGGTCCCGTCTGTCATGGCGATAACGCTCCCTGCTGCGACTTCGGTCTCTACGATCACGCCTGTCTTCTATCCTGCTTGACATAGCGTACGAGCAATTCTAGCGATGGTTAATTATGCAGTGGTTGGTGCAGAAAGCGGATGCACAGTACCGTCTGAGGTTCTGACGTGGGCGAAGTCGTACGTGGTTGAAGGGAACGTGGGGGATGAGCGCCACAAAGCTCCCGCGCTCTGAATCGGGCGCATCACCGGGCGCATCAAAGGATCACGTGAAGGAATACGCAGCGGCCAGTTTCTGATCTAACTGCACACGTCGACACCGACGTTCCCCGCCCGACATGGAGTTTCTCTCACAGACATATATTGCTTTGCGGGGCCCACAAGGCGCGCCACAGTCCCCGTCAGACACAATCGCACGGCTTAGTGATAGGCTGAGCCCGGCGACGCTCCTCGCAGACCGACGCGCAGCCGTACTCTCGCTCAAGGGCCTCTCGCGCGACTGGAGGGTCGAGATCGGCGAGCGTGCTCTTCCGGGTTTACTTGAAGTACTGCAGAACGATGCAGAGGTCGACGCGGACATCGGTAAGGCTGTCCTGGAGACGCTGAGCATCCTTTGCGAGGTCCACGAGGATGCGCCGGCGCAGGCCAAGGAGCTGAGCTTCAAGCACACGGACAAGGTTCTCGAGAACGACGCCGCAATTCACAAGCTCTTTGCGCTCCTTGCGGACCAGTCGTTCTACCTGCGTCTGGCGATCCTGCAATACCTGGTCATACTCCTACAGAACCGGAGGCAGGTCGTACAAAGCTCTTTCCTCAAGGCGCCAGTAGGACCGACGACTGTCATTGCCGTCTTGGATGAGAAGAGGGAAATTATACGTACAGGTGCGTGAGTCGTGAGCTGCGTATGTTCAGCTTCTGATACGGCTTTCTGCTCAGAGGCATTGACCATGCTACAGCTGCTACTTTCGCAAAACCCCGACATCCAAAAGATATTGGCGTTCGAAGGCGCATTCGAGAAGTTCTTTAGTATAGTCAACCAAGAAGGCGGAATAGAAGGTGGTGTGTCTGTCCGCGACGCACTGACTTGTGTGGACACCCTCCTGCGATACAACACCTCGAATCAGGTAGCGTTTATTCATGTCCTACCTCATGCACAGCTAACATTTCTTCCCAGAGCTACTTCCGCGAAACTTCATTGCCACCATTTCTGCCATCGATGCTGCTTTTCCCTCCGTCGCTCCCACCACACGAGCCTGCACCCCAGAACTTCGCGCTTCAGTTCTGGGATCCCCTACAGAAACGTGCGAACGCAGCGCTGGTCGTGGGTATCATGGGGATCCTCGTGAACTCGAAGGGTGGCAGCGTACGTCTTTCGCTTCTGCTCCCGAACATGCGACTTGATAGCCGATGCTCAGCCCGAAGAGACGTTCGCCTTCTGCCGCTGCTTCATCGAGCTTGGCCTGTCAAGCAATGCACCATCGTCACTTAAGACTCAGGTATGTGCCCTTCGCCTGTGAGATGTATAGCTGACTCAACCTTCGTGGGGTAGGTCCTTCATCTCCTTCCGGTGAATTTGAACATCCCTCTGCCATCCATGTCTATCACTCCATATATTCCTGTCCCCGAGTCAAATGGCGAGGAGTGGGATCGTCTCGAGCCGGCCTCTGCGCTTGATGCACTCGTAGATCTCGCGCTGCATGGCGAATTCAATGGTGTGCTTGGTGTCAAACGGACAAGGGACAGCATGGAGCTTCGCGGCGCAGCACTCGGTGTCTTCCAGGTAGGTTCGTGTAGTATATGTTTGTATCGTGCAGACTCTGACAGCGTGCACTCCAGAACTTCGTCCAGAGGGGTGACATTCGCGAGGCCATCGTGCAGGCTATGGTCCCACCGGAAGGTTGGAAAGCTGTCATACGGCGTCATCTACGAGGCTGATATACTTTGCAGGAGCCACCGAACGCCCGCCTATCACTCCTTTACTGCAGGCCTTGATAACACAGCCCACATCACCTCTGGATGTCGCCGCTGTCACGTCCACCCACTTCTCCACGCTACTCTTCGCTGACCTCATCCGCTTCTCGCCGCGCGCAAAAGCTCTCGCACGGAGCATCGTCCCCCAGCCTCCTGCGCAGGCCTCCGGCAACTTCTTCGTGCCAGCAGACGGCGGCGCACCGCCAGCGCCTGAGCCTGAGCCCGAAGAAGACGAGCAACAGGCGTTGCTGCAGATCCTCAGCGAGCACCTCTCGCTCGCACTACTGTCGCGCCGGCGCGCGGATACGTCCGAACGCGAGGCGCGAGAGTGGGATAGGCTGATCGTTGGGTACTTGTGTTTGCTCATACAGTGGCTCTGGGAGGATCCGCCATCAGTAAGAGGCTTTTTGGAGGCGGGTGCGCTTGGCATGGTCAGTGTCACGTCGTCTTGAGAGGTGGGGTCGTGGCTGATGTCAATATGTGTAGCTGGTGGAACCTATCAACCAGGCCCCCGAGGCAGATTCAATGATACCGGCGCTGTGTGCGTTCCTACTCGGTATATGCTACGAGTTCAATCGCGAACCGGGCGAGATCACACGGTGTGCCCCCTCATTTAATTTTCCTAGTCCCGGAAACTCACCGCAACGTGCAGGACAACGATATATCCCATCATGACCCGGCTCGGCATTGACCTCCTCGTAGGGCGCATCACGAACTTGCGAGATGACGACCGCTTCAAGGCAATCGGGCCTGACACGTTTGTGCTTTCATACCCCCACCAGGGCGGACATCCTGCGAACGGCGAGGGCGAAAAGGAAAGCGAGGTCTGGTTCGACTGGGCGTTTGCCGACTTCTGGAAGTCGAACTACTGTGCGTTTCCTCCTACCTCCCCTCCTAATTCCTTCTCTGTGGGGCTTCGTGCTGACTAAAAGGTGACAGACACGGTTCAGAGAGGCATCTCTGCGGACCCGAAGGCGCCACCGCCTTCTGCAGGTCAGAATACAGAGACGCTTGCACTCGTAGCGTCCCTCCGCGAGACGATAGCGCACCAGGCGCAGGAACTCGAGGCGCTGCAGAGACAGGCACAAGAGCTCGAGGCTTTGCGGAGCAAGGTTGGCGAGCTTTCCGCGCGGGCAGACGAGGTGTGCTCTCTTTGGACAGTCTATTCTGTGCGCGCGATACTGATCGATGTGCAGGCGGACAAGCTGCGCGCGGATCTCGACAGCACGCGGGCAGAGCTCGCAAGCACGCACGAACAGTTGCGTACGACTGAAGAGAAGTGCCAAGATGTTGAAAAGGAGCAGGAGGATCTGCTCGTGCTCCTCGACGAGCTCAATGGCAAGCGCAGGCGCGACAAGCAGCTGATGCGCACTGCGGGGATGGAAGTATCGGAGGATGAAGACGAAGGTGACGAGGAAGACGAGGAAGAGTAGAAGCATGGACTACGTATTTTATTTGGGCAATACAGTTGGGATTTCACAGCAATCATGAGCTTATATCGTGTCTCAAAAGCGTAGATTTTATTGCCCAGAAGTCCAACGCAGAAACGAGGCACGCTGTAAGACAGCCGAGAAATATCTAGCGGGCACCGTACTACCGCGTCTTCCTACTCTCGTCTTCCTCGCTGAGAATGACCTCACTCTCGAACTCGAACCTGCCGCTGTTCTGGAGACGCTTGACGAGGACGTCGCCGAGGGCGCTCGCAGGCGTGAGGACGCCACCCTCGCGCGCGACGTCGGGGAGCTCCGCGCGTGAGAGCAGGAGCGCGAGCGCGGCCTCAGATATCATGACGGCAGCGAGCCCGTAGCCTGGGTCGCCCCGCCCGCGAATGACGCTCCGAACGTGCGTGCGCGGCTTGTTGGGGACCGGCACAGAAGAGGTGACGTTCGTCACCTTGAGGAAACCACTCTGCAGTTGCCTAAAGCGCACGGTGCATTATTGGCCAGGCACGAATGTATAGGGGCACGGAGACTTACTGTTCAGAAGGCCCTTCGCCGGGCCCGGGGATGAGCATCTTGAACAGCCAGCGAAACTAAAAAGGGCATGTTAGAGGGAGTCGTGGGCTAGAGCATGAGGAGCACTCACTGGTGGAATCAGTACGCAGACAGCGGTGAATGCTAAGCTCAGGCTCAGTAGGACGGATGAAATCTTCCCTTTCTGGACCATGAATTCGTCGTACTTGAACTTCGGACCATACGTACGTGTGCGGGCTTCTGACGAGGTCGTCTCCAAAGCCTGCGCAATCGTCAGCCAGCATTTAGGTAAATGAACACACGAGACAATTTACCTGGAGCTCGTTGATACCCCATGTCCGCTGCACGATGGCGCGGTTCGTGCTAGCCATGAAGTACTTGCCGCCGTAAACTGGCGGGTTGGAGAATGGTAGGGTGTAGAACAGTTGGCGATGCTCATACTCTGGACCTTTGATAGCTAGGGATGTGAGAGCTGAGATGTCCTGTCAACACTGGTGGTTTGCTGAGCTTACCGGTACTCAAAGCCCAGTCCCGCAATGCCTCGCGGAGCTTCTGTAAAGGGACATCCTCGAACGCAGAGACGAAAGTCTGGAAGCTGCCGCTAGAGATGGTGCCCTTCAGCTTAAACGCCGTTATCGACGAGTCGATATTCGCTTCGGGCCCGGCGAGTGCTTTGAGGGTCTTGTTGCTCAAGTATACGCTCAGGTCGGACGGGACGGAATCAAAGCCGCAGGCCGGGATGATGACGGCGTGAGTCTTGGAAGCGAGGTAGTCGTATCTGGATCTGTTAGGGGAAGGATTGAAGAGGTACACACTAGGTGTCACTCACTCAAGGATGATGTCGTGTATCCAGTACGGTTCGCCAGAGAGGTCAACGTAGTGAATGCCGTGCCGTGCGCATGCCCTACAAAAGAGAGTTAGTCAAACGGAAAGTTCCACACATTTGACCCAGACGCACCTAACAACCGGAGTCCCCCACCGCCAGAACGGTCCAACCGCATTAATGACGACCTTTGCACGCTGAACAACACTATCCACCTCTTCTGAGTTGGCAACATCCACGTAGAACTCCTTGACATCGTTGCCCAAGGACAATTTCTTCTTCAAGTCAGCGAGTCTGCTCTTCGACCTCGCCGCAAGTCCGAGGGTGAACGAATGACGTTGTGGGTGTGAGGCGAGGTACTGGGCAATAAGTTGGCCAGTGCAACCTGGGGTTTGAAGCCTCTCAGTGGGTCTCAACACCAGGAATGTTGCTATGTCACGCACCTGTAGCTCCTAAAACAATTATATCGGCCATAAAGTTTGCAGAAACGATCATAGACGTAGCGTTGTTGGGTTCGCTCGCGTTAACGTCGTGTGCGTCTATGCCGCGGGCTGCAGCCTGCGAAGTGACGTCTTGATGCGTATCACGTGAGTGATGCGCCTCTTTTCCAATCTGGTGTTGCCCGAAACGGCGGATTCTATCGTTGACTCCCGCGGCCATATGTCTTCCACATGCCTATGCTAAATGCCAAAAAAGATTCTAAAATTGAACACTGGCAGAGCAGATGAAACGGCTGTCTGATTCTGAGACGCTACTAGTTGTCCAGGTTGTCGTATGCGCGCCGTACCTGCATGATCACCGACGTTCTCCCCACGCTCATTAACTACGCGCTCTCGGTCTTGGTAAGATTTATGCATTTATCCTCGGCATAGTAGCTTAGATCAACCTAACTAAAAGGTCTTGTGCAGGTACTGCAAGACTGCTTGCGCGATAGCTCGTGCGCGATGCGCGGTGTGCTCAGCGCTGAGTCACTGAGTCAGACCAAGAGCAGCATCACTCGCCCCTGAGGGCATGCGAGCGATGGTCGTGGATTAGCAAGCCTTTTGTCCCAAACCCGCGCAAGAGTGATCCCAGTCAGTGAACGTTGCGCAAGTATGGTCCCCAGCTACCGCAACATGGATCATGAGATACGCAGGGTGATTGCAACGCGATAAGCTGATGATACGATAGGAACTCCGGTGGCTACTGCTAACACCTTTGACAGAAGGCCCAGAAGTACTGCTACGGCGTATACGGACTGCGTTTCGGCATATCCCACGCCACGGGATCTCTCACACACTGAAAACGTTGGGCTGAGAAGCCATTTAGCACTGGTTCAAGGGCCGTGTGACTGCAGTTCCACAACAGAAGTACAGTAGGCCTTGTCATCTTGATCCAGGCCATATTTATACGCCTCGGGCAACCCCCTGGGGAATGTCTACAGGTTATTCACGTCGCTACGAGCTGTCGGATGCCACTTCTGGGATTAGTCGCTACTCTGGACGAGGTTTGAAGAACGTGACATCCAGACCAACGCACTCGCGGGCACCACGCACGCTGCGCCGAAGCCCAATGCTATCGGGGCTTCTCGAATCTTCTGACCCAGCCGTTGATGGAGTAACGGTGAGAGCCCCCATCGTAATTACACCCCAGTTCGGACTTAGGCATCCCACCAGGGTCCGGCGAAGGTACATAAGAGGTGGCAGTCGAGCACTTGGAAGACTCAGGAGCTCGAAGACCTCGCTATTGTCCTCACCAGCCCTTCTCACAAGTCGCAATACGCAATTTGCAACCAACATGTCGCATGGCAAGCAGTTCACTTTGTTCACACACAAAGGTGGCCCCAACGGCTGGTGCGTTTGACTATGCATCTTCTTCGCAGTATTATTCAACACTCAATTTTGTAGGAAGGTCGCCATTGTACTTGAGGAGCTCGGCTTGACCTATGAATCCATTTACCTCGACTTCCAGAAGGGCGACCACAAAGCTCCAGAGCACACTAAGCACAACCCAAACGGCCGTATCCCGACGATCATCGACCACAAGAATAACGACTTTACTCTCTGGTGCGTTTTCTACCTCGCTTCTTTCTATCCCAATCCAATACATCGACATAATTCAGGGAGTCCGACGCGATCATCGAGTACATCGTCCAGAAGTACGACACAGAGAAGAAGATCTCCGCAGCAACAGAGGAGGACCGCTTCAGACAGCTTCAGTGGCTCTTCTTCCAGGCCTCTGGCCAGGGCCCCTACTTCGGCCAGGCGGCCTGGTTTTCGTTCTTCCACCCGGAGAAAATCGCGAGCGCCCAGGAACGCTATAAGAACGAGGTCCAGCGTGTGCTTGGCGTCCTTGAGAGTGTGCTCTCCCAGCAGGAGTGGCTCGTCGGCGGCCGGTGCACCGTCTCCGACCTCTCATTTATTCCGTACGTGATTCTCTTTTGCACGTGGAACGAAGGACGCTGATGGACGAGGTTCACTTCAGATGGAACGACTTTGCCCTCAATGGCTTGCTCGAGGGTGTGGACATCGCTGAGAAGTTCCCCAGCGTCTCCAAGTATGCTTTCACTCATCTTCTGCTAAGTTCTATCCTAACTCCCCTCCCCCAGATGGCACGCGAAGATGGCAGAGAGGCCCACTGTCCAGAAGGTCCACGCGACTCAGGCTGAACTCAAGAAGTCCTAGAAATGTTTCTTTGCTACTTGTGGCCTCTTCTGCCAAATTTATCATTGTTTGTCAAGTCTGATAATAAATGCATCTTATGTTCGTCGCGCTAGGCGTTTTCGTCGGCTGCTCTGAGGCAATCGGGAGAGACTAAAGCTTTTTTGTGGTGTAATCCTCTGCGAGAATTACGAGGTTCTCACTGTGGTTTGACTTCGATGGTAGGACTCTTCCTCTTAGGATCATTCTCCCTTACTTTAGTTAAGTTGTCTGTGGCTCTTGAGATAGCCATATCATCTCTGAGTCCGACTCCCATGGTGCGTCGTACTGGTCAGGCTTACATGACACTTTCTGAGCAATTCATCGTAGCTACGCGGCGCGCAGGAGCCACGAACAATTTACTGACCTACACGACCTTCGGGAGACATGTTCAGCTTTCCCAGCGAGCTCTCTGCCCTGACTGCAACCCGCAGGCACTATTCACGTAAACATGCCCGACAAGCGAGTCACAAACCCATATGCCACTTTGAGGCGGAACCTGGTAGCGCTGCAGCACCTCGAGCATACGATGCCGCAGTTCAAGATATCACTCGATTCACTCAAATCACAATAATTAGCAGAGCAGGTCCTGACGGTCTCCAGGAGCGCATGTCGCAAATTGAGAATGCACTGCCGGCGCTCCTACGCGAGACGTGGGTGCAGACTGTCGCAATCGGGGCTTCCGCGGGATGCGCAGACGGCCACTGTGCAGCAGGTGTTTTGGGGCTGCAGCGCGGCGGTCTATTGCATGGTCTATTGCAATTCTTTTGTGGTCGAGAATGGATGGTTCTGACCATTGGCAGTTAGTATTATATTTACCGAGCAGCTACGTCTTCCGTGCACTCATGGTTTGTCTTCGGAGTGAAGCCAGGTTAAGGCCGATGTGGTGTGTTGGTTGGCGCCAACACGAGTGCCATGCTGTCGTCCTATGCTTGCTACCGGGAAACTGCTTTTTACGTCCATCTACGAGAGGTAATTAGTGGCCTCTGTTGATGAATCGACCTGTGTATTAATATTATTAATACTTAGCTTGAGCATGCCGTATCACCTGCATTTAGGCCCAGTAACATGCTACGCACGGACAGAGAGAACTGGGAACAGAGTCAAGACGAGAATTGAGAAGAACGCGCCGCGCCGCCTACCGTCAACCTGAGGGGACGCTTTGTGACTGGCACGCCTTTGGGATTTGACGCCTGAATTGTTAGATTAGATTAGATAAAGATGGCAGGTACTCTGTCGGAGCAAGCCGGGGTACTGCGTCCGACCTTGTTGACACGAACTTGAACGAGGTTTACTGAGACTCTTTTGACGCATTTTTGGATCGCTTTAGCTCGGATGTGCCATAAATATATGTCGTAAGATATAACAATTACTTATAGTCTGGCAATGGTCTGGTTGAACTAACCGTCTTCTCCAGGTTCGAGCGCAGTGACGCTTTTCTAGGCGGTCCACCGCAGACCGGCCGATTTGCAGGGGCCATATACCGCTTCCCTAATGAGCTTCTGGATGCGATCATATCTCGACTGCGCCCCACAGACATCGACCACGAAGAGCAGGACGAAGATATGTCCCGATGCGCAGACATGCAACCCATGCCTAGCGGCAAGGCAGACCTGCTCACATGCGGCTCTGTCTGCCGCCTCTGGCGTGCGATCGCTCTTCCACACATCTTCCACGACCTCCAGGTGTCCTTTCGCTCATTATCTGAAGAGTACGATCCCTCGGCGCGTCAGCACCCCTGGATCGACGGTGCCGAGCAGGTCCCCGAGCGCTCGGCTCAGCTCAGTACTGGGATACTGAAGAACCGTTTATGGTATCCTACCGTCGCCAGAGTCTGTCTCAGTTTCGACGCTTCCTCTGCAACGCGCCAGCTGTCCGGCCTCTGATCAGGCGACTCCGTCTTGATGGTAAATTGGGATATACAGCGATCACCGTCGAGGTGCAACACGAAAGGGGTGATGTTGGAACGCTTAGGCCTGAAGTCACACATACAGAGCGCCAGCATCTGACGAACGCGACGGTCTTCTTTGATGTCCTCAAGCTTCTCCCAAACCTACGAGAGCTTTCTCTCCATCGAGTGCGGCTGGCGTGGCCAGGTTCATGGCCAACCCCGCCCATGCCGGCGTTGAAGAGGCTACGCTTTGATGCGGGGTGGGAGATGTATGGTGGTAGCATGCACATGTGCCTCATAGTCGGCCTTTTTGGACAGGTGGAGTCTCTGCAAATTCTTCGAACATGCTCAGCGGATCAATGCACTTCCCACGAAGGAAGTAGCCGTCTGGAGGTGGCCGATTTATCCGTGGACCCCTGGACACATCTCCCTACTGGTTTCTGGTCCTTGCTGCGCACGTCTCGCTCTGCATCTACACTGCAGTCCCTGGATATTGGACTCCTCCATTTCAGGGCTCCGGAGCGCGAGGAGCTGAGACAGCTCATGCTAATAATCGGGCCAAACTTACAGACCTTCCAGTGCACCATCCAACGAGGTCGTAGTGCAGAAGGTGAAGAGGCTGCCCTGTTAAGTTCTGGTATCCCGACTCACAACCCATCATTCCAGGCGACTTTCGAACAGTAGATCTGACAATGTGCCCCAATCTCAGCGCCCTCACGGTGCGCTGTGGCATTATTAATCCACGGGAGGTCCAAGGGTCTGATCCATTCCCACCGGCCTGTGCCCACGCATATAAACTTTTCTCGGGGCAGAACCTCGCGGCGCTGCGGCATCTCAAGCGCATGACGCTGCGGTTCGAGCTATGGCCCGATCTAGAATCCGAAGGGCAGCTTCTCGACGACCTCCATGGGCATATGCTGAAGAACGAGAGTGCGTTGTTGGCGCTTTAATGCAAGACGCTGGTCCGTGCGATTGCGGTCGGCTTCCCCAGGAAATCGCAAGAGGCGCCATCTGGGGAGGGCACGCAAGAGGTCGCTGTGGAGCGGATGTTTCCGAGGCTGCAGCGCGACGGTCTTCTGCGAACCTTTCGCGGACACGACCCAGAGTGAGTAGTTCCTACCGGTTGTGTCATATTCAACCCTAGTTTTCGTTATTTTCTCACCCATCACACAAGTCTATCGCAGGATGTCACTCCTTGGCCTTTGCCCATGATCCGCAAATTTTAGTGCAAGGAGCCAGTGCCGACGAAGTTCGCTATGCTGCTGGGTGCATCCAGCCTCGACTCGCTGGTCCCGATCCTGACGCGCATTCTAGTTCGAGGTTTTCACTACACTCAGGGTCCGTGCTGCTGTCCTCCTTACTGTCAATCTGAAATTTTTGAGGCGAGTACTTGTTGAGTGCCAGACAATGTCAGTAATTTTACATTACGAATTAACCTATATGGTATTACGCCACAAAGCCTGCGCTTCATGTCCGCCTACACCGCGTGTACGTGGACCTAAAGTCATAATGCCACGTATCCCCGGTTTGTAACCGACCTTCATCTCCGACTCGCGCGTCTCTATTCCAGGTAACCAAGCAACCCCGCAAGCAACATTCGACGACCTGGGCCCTTCGTGAAATGAGATCATGACGCTTCGTCCGGTATTCATATGCTTTGAGGCTAAATTCTTAATATTCAGCACTGATCCAGGCACGCTCAGGGCGCATGACGACACAGTGCGCTGGCAGCCCTGTTTGTCCTCGTGAACATCAGTTCCGAGGCGCAAAGCCTACCTATGCGCTCACTCGTAGCTCCGATGTCTGTATTGTTCACATCTTGGCAAGGCCGCCTTTGCGCAGACCCCGAGAACAATGACCCCGCGTCGAGGCACCGTGCATGCATTGACAGGCAGACACTGGCCGGCAATTCGGTACGAGAGACGGGAGTGCTGGCAGAATAAGCCCTGGGCATACAATTTTTGCGATGCTCTTTCGTTAGCAATAACTTGGTCAAGCAATACCCTTTTGTGGACGATTTCCAGTCTGCGCTGCGTTACCTGGCATGACTCTGTCTGTGAGGTTGTAAGATCTCGATGTGATTTGAACCTATATCATTTACCTCGTCTTTTACCAGGCTACGAGATCTCTTTGTCAGAACAGTCCTCAACGTGAACTGTTGTATCGGCGGCAGTTTTTAACACCATGAAGACATTTCACACTTGGGAGATTAGAGTGATGCAAGAGTGTCGCGTGAGATTACGGTACCGAGTCCTCTATACTAAGTAAACTCATACAAGCTGGTAAGAAGATAGAAATGTGTACATCCGTTACAAGATCAACTAGACTTCTGGTTGCAAATACAGTTAAGTCACTATTACAAGCCAGCGCGGGAAAGATGCAAGGAAAAGGTGAGAATTCAGGGTATCGCCTAGTGTCCGCCGCTGAGCCCCGCTGCCCTGGCTTCCTGCCAGGTATTCCACATGCTTTCGCGCGTCGCTGTATGTCCGATGGCGCCCGCGAAGCGGAGCACGCGGTACACGTCGTGGAAGTTGCTCGCGAGGCCGAGACTCATGCGCACGACGCCGAGCTCGCGGCCGACCTGCACCTCAAAGTCGCGCATCGTCGAGCGGTCGTCGAGCATTGCCATCTCGTTCCGCAGGCCGAGGATCGCTGCCGCGCCGCCCGGGTTGCACATGCAACCCGTGCGCAGCGAGATATTTTGTGTTGTCGCGGCGTGCTCGATGAAGGACAGCGGGAGCATCTCTCCCGTGGGCTGTGCGCCGTCACGTCAGCAGGGTCGAAGACGCAGGGGTGGATGGGCTTACCGAAAGGAATATCACGCTAACTACGGAGCCGGTCTCGGCTTGTTCGCCTACTGCCTTTGGCCGGCGAGTGGGAGCGCGTGAGAGCACGCGGACGACGGATGCGCCGTTGTCATGTTTCAGCTCGGCAAGAGAGGTTATCAGGTAGTGGGTCAGGGACGCGAGTCGAATGGGGAGGAAGGGGAGATACGCGGAAAGGAATCGCAGACCATCGGTGATCGCTGGGAGGTTCAGGAAGTTGATGGTGCCGTCCTACACAAGGCACCGATGTCAGCCATCATAACCTAAACCACAACAAAGCGAAATGAAGGGGGTTTACGCCGCGGGATGACGTGAAGCCACCTCATTGCGGACACTACGAGCAAGGGATAGCGCACCTCGAAGCGCGAGTGGAGCTCACTACTCATTCTGTAGACCATGCCTGGTGCCTGGACGAGGTCGACTGTCCCACCAGCGAACCATGGGCGGCTCAGTTCTGCCAGGAAGGATTCTTTGACAATCAATGCCCCGACGCCGGTCGGGAACCCGAACATCTTGTAGAAGCTGAGGGCCATGGCGTCTACCGGATAGTCCGACAGGTTTATGACGGATGTTGCCGCTAGTGCCGCAGCGTCGAGAAGTACGCTGTACCCTAGCGACTTCGCGTGCTTGATGAGACCGAGGTTGTTCTTGCTGTTAGTGACATTTGATTGGGCCGTGAGCGCAAATAGAGCCGGGGCAGTGTCGTGCGGTGCCCGTTGAGTTGATAATACGTCCTGAGAAGAAAGATGTTAGATGGATCATCTCTGAGACGAGATGGAGCGAGGTACCATCGCTGTCTTGGTGTCCACGCCGCCCTGGTCTAAGCAAGGGATATAGACGACCTTGGCGTCCTTCCAGGCGGCGAACTGTCTTATGCCGTGAACGCTGTTATGCGAATCGGCGCTAAGAACGAAGGAGCTGCCCTCCTGGAAGGGGAAGGATTCTCCCACAAGCTTCAAGGCTCCTGTTGCGTTCGCGGTGAAGACGACGGTGTAACCTGGGGGTGCCCTGAAGAACGAAAGCACTGCCTGGCGCGCTTCTTCCGCATAGCGGGACGAGAGCTGTGATCTGCGTGATGGAGTGTTAGCCCGGCGCTGGCCGAAAGAAGATAGGAGGGCGTTACGAGTTGTTGACCGAGTGCGTGTTTCCCAATACATTACGCTGCAGGAAACCAGTATGGACACGGATCAAACTCTCGGGGTACAGGGAGGCGCCCATGTAATCGACATAAGTCTCGCCCGAGCGATCTAGTCTCGCAAAGTCGCTTCTCCGGAGAGCGTCCAAAGTCCAGGTGAGCTGATATTCGGGGTACTTCTTCAGGAACGTCTTGTATGCCTGTGCGGCCTTGTCGTCGTCTTCGTGGAGGTCGGATGTCGACGCGTACAGAGGTGGCGGTTGCTCAAAACTGTGCTTGTCTTCGGGACCACCGATAGAGCTGGCTGGTGGGGATACCTCGTCGAAACTGTGTGCGGATGACGCGCAACCTAGAGTCAAAGCAGTCAACGCCGTCGACGACTTCTTGGGGACAGGCCGAGGTAGTCGTTTTGAGTCAAGTGGAAGAGGTTGGGGTGCAGCGGCGAGCTGAGACGGCTGAGAGTGAGAGTTGCCCATGACTGGGGATGTGTTTTGCAGATGTCCAGAAGAGATTGCGACGCAGGTTGCTGCCAGACACCAGACCGAGACCAGAAGAGCCTTTATACCTGGTGGTTAAGTCCGTACCGACCGAATTGGGCCACTGCGGCTGACGCCAGTGCAAACCAGAAGACGATGAAATCCGAAAAAGCAAGTCGCCGGGTCGTCACAGCACCAGTCACGGCCAGATGAACAAAGCAGGGGTGTCCAGAGGTCCACAGATCCAGCTGGGTTGAGTGAAAGGCTGAATCGAGCATTGACGTGCAACCCCAACCTTAAACATTGCCGAATGCGGGAAGACGCACCGCATCGCCTGCGGTTACCGCCACTGCTCGCCAGATTGCGGTCCCGATATGCGCTCAGGGCGACAGACATCGTTGTCGAGTGAGAGATCGCTAAGATCGACATTGCATGCTTTGATTAATTGGAACGAAGCATGGGCTTCAATTGTCATACTTACTGTCCGACGAGCACTCTCAATTGATCGTTCCGGGCGGCTGACAACGCGAGACCGGCGTATGCGAATTATTCACCTTGACGAGGTTGTGCGCCCTAACTCCTTGTTGTTGTCTCTGGCGTTTTGGACAGCCGAAGCGTAAGTCTTGCCGAATCCAGCCGCGCGAGCGGATGTGGCAGAGCACAGGACATGGCGGGGAACTGTGAATGTGTCTGCAGAACGTTATGGTTCGGATTGGAGGATTGGTCGCATGCTATCCGTCAACGCGGGCTTCGAGGGAAGTTGCCGAGCGCTCGGATCTGCTATGTGCTGTGCAGGACTGGTCTGCAGTACACCTCCATGAGCGCATCCGTCATACGATCCCTGGGTGCGTAGAGACCTCAGAAGCCGCCACCGCTCCGAGAGGACAACGGCCTGTGAGTTTCACATTGTCAACGCAATTGCACATGTCGTCGCTGGCAACGTCTGCGCGCGGTACCTTGTTGTGCGCAGATGACGAGATGATGGTAGCGATATGCCGTACTCGCTCTTTGCATCGCTGCCCTGAACCATGTTCACGAGAAGACGAGAACTTGCACAGCTTCAGAGGTTCCAATTATGCCGGAGATTTGTGATTCTCCATGTGGCTGAACACTAACGAACGACGAACAGCCTGGAGATGCAACGGTCAATTCGCGCATCAGCTGCATACGGGATCACCATGGTTGTCGCATCCATTGCGCCGGTAATTTCAACGCATTGACTCAGCGTCACAGCGGTACGTCGGAGCGCCGTTTCACCACATTGTCAAGGCATGGAGAGCAATGTACAGCTGAGTACATGCGCTGGCAGACGCGGGTTCTCCTAGGACACCCAGTTTGTCAGTGTCACAGTATCCCGCACCTCCACAGGTTCTGTGAGAACCGCCGGCAGAGAGCTCATGCGAAGGGAATCCTGCTCCCGCAATCGACATTCAATCCTACACGGACGCATGTCGGCAATTGTATGTACTCAGCGAATGTATAAGCTATGGTTACGTCTCATGACTCGATGCCGGCTGGATTGGCACACGGCTGCTTGACAGGCGAGCGTGCAAGTTTTTTCTCTCTCGACGCGGCAGCGACGAGAATAAGCCGACAATAGCTAGTGGAGAAGAATGTCAGCACGGCGCATCCCCGAAAGCTCGCTTGAGCACTTGCGCAATCGTGCAAGGGTTAGGCGCGGGCGCTTCGCGTGGCTTAACACTCGGCGGCGATGCAGGTCTTCGGAGGCTGCGCTGTACAATAGCCACGGGAGCCGGGAACATGCAACATTCCTGTCGTAGGACGTGATGGACGCACACTCACAAATGCGGCCTGGCACATCCTGGACACCAGTCTTGTACAGGACAATTAGTCGGCCTTCGGGCGGCCGAGAGCGTCTCCAGCTACAGGGCTAGCGCAGCGGAGCACTCGCACGGATAGACAGCGTTTCGTCCGAGAGCTTGATATTTTCTGTCACATCAATCTGAGAAGGACGCTCCTCGTATAGACTGTCGATCAAACCTTGTATAACGGATGCCGTAGAAGAGCAGGTCTCAGGAGCGCCGCGTTGGCTAGCTGCTGGGACGCGGAGGGTTCTAGCGTGAGCTCCGCCGACAGGCGAAGCGCAGCACACTAAGAGTAGCGCCTCAACTAAGACAGTTCCCGTAGCTGGTCAGAGATGAACGCATATGTGGCGCGTCGCAGACATAGCGGCGCCGTCATAATCACAAGACGAATGCGAAGATTCCTGTTAGACGGTCTAGAATCGTGTCTCGTACAGACAGGATATCGCCGAAAACTTTATACAATTTAGATGTGGCATGGAAGTGCCACACATACCTTATGCGGTTTGGTGAAATATAGCACAAGCTAAAGTGTTCTTCGTTTTGCAGTGAATTTCTTGGGTGGCGGATTGTCTGGATGCTTAAAACGTCCCTCTTGGATCGCTGTTAAAAGATTGTGGGGAAGCATGCTGGCGATTGTGGCTTCAGGATTCATGTGACAGTCCGGTTCAGTGGCGTTAGCCTCTAGCCTTGGCCGCATCCTGGTGCATTCCGCGTTAGAAGCCGGGGTGTTGAGAAGAGGCCATGCGACAGTTCGACGTGTTCTGAGGTGGCCATTTGAGAGGGCATAAGCCCGTGGATATCTGGACAATAGACGTCCATAGACGCACTGGTGTCGACAGAAACTTGAGCCGGTGTTGCACGGAACGACTGCGACATCGGGCTACTGCCGGCAAAATCAAGCCAGAGACTGATGAAACGGCACTGAGTCAGACTATGCATGCGGGCGTATGCCAAACCTTTTGTTCCATATGGTAAACTTGGGGCCTTAGAATGATAGGAGCGATACAGTTCTAATCCAGGAGGGTTCCGGATTGATGTCATCCGGCGAAGAGGACCCTTTCCGGAGACGAAGACAAGAGAACAGTCAGAGGCTGACTGAATGCTAGTTCCTGTGCCGTACCTTGCTTTGCTTTGTCGAGGAAATGGAGTGTCCGAACCGCTTCACCGGCGCGCAACCACTCTTTTCCCGGATATCAGGCCAGCCCTTCTACTCGCGAGTGACATAGGTCGACGGGCATCTCCACTGTCACTGGCACTAGAGCGCAGCAATTCAAGACACCGAGACTGGATGTATGTTCTCGCGAACATTTGGACTGGTTTCAGGGACGAATTTTCTGGTATACTCAAGCGGAACAGCCTCCATACCCAGCAGCTCCTCCTGCAGAAGAAACGCATTAGGTCATAATGAACCAAAGGCCATTTTTGAAGCGCAGCATACCAGTTGAATGGCATGTCGAGCGATGGCCGGTGCGTCTCTCCGGACAGAACTTGTCGGCGAGCACAGCATGTAGGCGGTGCACTGATGGCACGGCTAGCGGTGACTCTAGAGCAGCTTCTGAGCAGCATGTCCTTTGTCTGGAGTTGGAATGATACTAAAATTGAAGTAAAATAGTACATTCGTGGAGCAGCTTGCTTTAGCTCCCGCAGCTTTAAGCCCATCTCGTTGTGACAGCACTTTGCGATCAAAAGCTGTGTGCATCTGTGGGCAAATTTATGCTCAAGTCGGTTACATGCATCGAATAATACCTACCAGCGTAACATATTGTCTGCGATGTTTGCGAGCGGTAGTCACGCCGACGATGTGACTCCTGAGTGGAAGGTCGCAAACTTCGGCTAGGATATTTGGTTCGGTTGCTACAGCAGATGAACTGGATCTTCACGTGAAGGGTTGATCGCATCACCACAATCAAACCAACCCGCGCCAGGCCGCGTGACAGCAAGTGACCGCAACTTGCGCTCTTCTCCTCAACGTTACCCTCGACGTTACCCTCGACGGCGACGCCATGTCTACCGCACACAGACCAACATGGGACCCTGCTCAAGCGAAGGATGTGAAGGGCGGCTCTCGCCAATTCTCCGTGCGGGACATGGCCGCGCACACGAAGCTCAAGTTTAGGTACGTTCTGTTCTTATAGCCTCCGAGTCATAGCTACATAACGCTATTTTCTTCTCCTACAGACAACCTGGACAAACCTCCACTAACGAGGTTAAGAAGCGCGACTTGCGGGCGGAGTTGCTCGCTGCAGAGGCAGAGGCGCGGGAGAAGAAGAGGAAGGCAGAGGGCAAGCCGTCGCTGGCTGTGGAGAACGGAAATGCTGCAGACGACGAGGCGAACAAGCGGAGGAAATTGCTGCAGGAGGCTCTGGAGATGGACAAAGATGATGACAAGGACGAGGAGAAAGCGTCGGAGGATGGAGCAAAGGAAGGCGGGAGCGGTGACGAGAGTGATGAGTACGTCAAGTCGTCATGACTAGTCCACGATGCCTTGCTAAGGTTATCTCTAGGGACGATGATGATGATGACGACGACGATGACGATGACGACGACTCTGCCGAGCTCTTGCGCGAGCTCGAGAAGATTAAGCGAGAACGCGCGGCGGAGAAGGATCGACAAGAACGCGAACAATCTGCGTCTTCGGCAGCAGCCCGTGAAGCGGAGATTGCTACTGCAAATCCCTTGTTGAATCTTGCGGCGGCACTTGGCCAAACACCAACTGGCGTCAATACTACTGTACCTGGAACGTTTGCTGTGAAGCGGAGATGGGACGATGGTGCGTGCACTGCTCACTGTGCCGGAATATTACCGCTAACTATATTTTGGCTCTTTCAGACTTGATTTTCAAGAACCAAGCGATGAGCTCACGAGACAAGGATGGCGCATCTGGACAGTTCGTCAACGATCTTTTGCGAACACAGTTCCATAAGTGGGTTCCTCGGAATATCACTGTCTGCACCGAATTAACTGACTTCGCTCTTTTCTACCAGAAAATTCATGGCGAAGTTCATTAAGGTACGAACACCCCTTTCTATGCTTCCGAATCTTGCGCTCATTTCCTGCGAAGTAGTGATATCCTGGATCTTGGGTCGTCGGTTGTACTTCTATTGCCCTTGTATCTCATCGCGTTCATTTTTATCACTCGTGGTTGAATTGCTAGGCAACGTGTCAGAAATTCGCATGGCAGTGTGCGGAACTTTGCGGTTGTCGCTTCGTCACCATGAGATTAAATAGAAGGCTGGCTTTGTTAGCGCGCCAGGTTACCCTCCTACGTCCGTCTTGTCGTATTCTTCCCAAGGTGAGCAGCCTGTACTGCCCCCAGCTCGTACCTGCACAGATAACCCAGGGTAGACTTCCGCGCTGTGAGCTGTGATGCTATGGCTTGGGCACCTGCAAATAACTTGCCACAAGAATTGGCTGATACTATCGTCAGTCTCCTTCGAAGTGACAAGCCTTCCCTCACCACTTGCAGCTGTCTTTCTAGAGCATGGGCTCCACGTCAACCTGTCCTACCAAAACCTCGTGGAGAAGCCCTTGTTCGCCGAGGTTAACGTTGTCCCCGACAACATCGACCAAATGTCATGGACGATGTTCAGGCCTTCCTTAAGCCGATCTTCTCAGCTTTACGACGATTCCCCACAATTTCCCCCGCCTTCGTAGAACACATCGAGGAGATATATGTATCGTCGGCTCCGAGGATATCAAGCAGGCGACACAGTATGCGATGCTGTCCACGAACCATCCTTCGGATTTTTCTAGCAAGACCGAGGCTACGTGAACTGCGCACCGCCAATATCGAGGGACAGCGTCATAGACGGTTCACTGCCGGGAGTAACCTCGAGACGCTGAATATCTGGATCGGGAGTGCGGATGGCAAGCATACAATGCATAAACTGGAGCCTCTGCTGGACAACATGCCTGAACAGCCCGTCCGAAGTACTCTTAGCACCCATCTGGACATTGTAGGGCTGAGGGCCGAAAAATCGCATCATCGGCTGTGCGAGAGCTCTTCGCAATTTTCTCGCTTAGCATTCGAATAGTAACCATCTGCAATTCCTGGTGCATTCACACAGATGCTAGCAGTATGCTCGATTCCTTTATCCTTGCGTTTTAGTCTGGGCCTCTTGTGGGCGTCCGCCAGCTCTTATGCCCTCTTTTATGCAGGTCTCAGGCTGACCGCCTGCAAGAGCTCGGTTCGACTGTCGGGGTCGGAGAAGGCGGATCAGGGGCTCGTGCGCCACACCACGCATCTCCGCGGTGTTTATCTAAGAATTGCAAGTCACCGCTGCTAGTCGCGCCACCTCGGTTACTCTCGTGCTCGACCCGCATCCGCACATATATCCTGCGGAGATCCCCGAGCTGTTCTCTGCGATTATCGTATCCGGCGTTGGACGTGGGTTCCGCAGGCTGCTAGTGCAGGCGGGCCGCCAGTGCGTGTGTTTACAGATGGTCATACTTTAGATGCGGAGGAACGGGTTGCTCTGATGGAGGAGGCGTGCGTTCTTCACTCGGCGAGCGTGCTGTTATTGAGGTTAGCCCTGCTGTATCTCGTAGATCGCCTATGGATATATTTGGCGTAGTCATCTCAAGGATACGTCGTGAAGCTCGAACACGAGATGTGCATGGTATGGTGCAGCGAGTTGCCTCACGAACCCGAAATCCGATTATTAGAGCACCTAGCTCTAAGCTTGCTTGCCGTTCTCTCGCCCCCATCCTTTCGTCTTTGCTATATTTCTCAGAGCTAACGCATTTATAAGAACTGTCATCCCTGCGTACCAGCACCGTGTGGGCCGCCTCTACACCTCCCGTACTCGCAACATGTTAGGTGTCGCGTGACATGTACCTCGCAGCTTGGTGGCGATCTGCACATGCTATACATCTACCTTCGCTGCTGTAGTCTGAATAACCGCTCTTTTACCTTGTGGTCGGTTCCCACTGATCCTGTTGCGTGTGCAGGCTATTCACATCGACGCTGTCAGTTCCGCTCTTGGACCCTGATGTCGTCGTGTACGCATAGCAAGCCGATGCCCCTATCGGTGCACCCGGTTCCTTGCGGCCGCTTCTGGTGCTGAAGGCGGCGCCTATGGGCAAGCTCACGTTTCATATCCGTCGACAAATGCTGGAAGCAACTAGACATCTCGGAGGGAGCGCAGTGTCACTGCTAGCGAAATGGTGTCTTGTGAGTATCCACTTTCCTGGTCTCTGGCCGAGTACGTGGCCATTGTCGAGTTCTTCCCATTAAGTTGTGCACTCCAGCGTGCAGACCTACATGGCTCTACCGCCGCAGTCATGCAAGACACCTGTGAATTGTGGGGCGATGCTTGTCAGATGCTGCGCGTTTATATCTGGGGGCAACCATCGAACAACTCCATTCTTTGCTCGAGCGGAAAGCTGAGACGTGGACCTGGCGATTAAAGAATTAAAGTGGCCGGAGGAGCAGTTGGAGTATTGGTGAGTCGTGTGGGGACTTGTGCGCGTTCGATCGTTCCGATGATATCTTTCTGTTGCAGGGATTAAGGTGCATCGAGCTGCTCCTCAAAGCGGACGGCGATACTGGAGCGCATTCTGCAATTCGTCACATGGAGGCTGTGGCTCAGCACACTCGAACGTCTCGCTTCAGCTCGGTACACATGATATAGTCAGTATCCCGGTCCCTACATGGCACATCAAACTACTGAATTAAGCGGTTGTGTCGAGGCTGACTCGTGGGAGAGTCTTGAGAGAGCTGCAGGTCAGATGCAGAGGTGAGTTCTCGAGGAGCTCTTTGTGAGGTCCAACTCGATCTATTGCTCCTTGATAATCTTCTATGCCAAGTCGGAGACCGAGTGCAAATTGTTACGCTCGTATTCAATCTATACCACGCCGATTTCGAAAGCAGCTTTGGTCAGATTACGATGTCAGAGTGGTCATGTTTCTCCACTCTACAGTGCATTCCGAGTACACAGTGAATGCCGTGCGGTAAACGCCTCCCTTATCACAATGGAAGATCATTGTCTGGCGCCGGTTGGCCTCATGACAGCCACAGCATCCAGCTGTACTTCCCTCACCACACTGCTTGGATCCCCTGCATGAGCCGCAACAGTGGTAATACTTCGCGGCTCAGTCCTAGATGAGTCGTCGAGACTAGATTAATATTGGTACTAGCGAGCAACTAGATGTAGAGCGAATGTTTGCTTGCTGAGCCATGGCAGATTCAAGGAGAGATAGCATCGGAGGCAATCAAACGAATATGTCTATTTCTATTTAGAATGCCAGTGATTTCCCAACAACACCTTCTGAGAATTTGACTATCGTAAGTATGTTTCTGAGGATATTCGAGAGCATGATAGTATGCCAATAGTACCTATAAATGTTTTCGCGAAGTCGTGAATGAGCTTGAACCCTATCGTTCGTGCGGAGGCCTCGCGTATTAACGTTCTCTGCGGGCTATGCGCGCTAGCGGAACCTGTCAATGCGAACGAAAAAAGTGCTAAGCAAAAGGAGACTGGTCGCTCAAATCATGTTGAGCACGAACGTCTGACGTGCTGTGGACGCGCCGGAAGACTTCAGAGCGCGGCAGATGCGCGTCCTGTCACGTCACGTGATCATATCACAGTAGTGACTATAATTGCCATAGATTAAGATAGGCCCATTACACTTTCATCCATATGTGACAGATTGTGACATGCATGTGAATGCACCCGTCCGGCGCGGCATCACACTCGCCTTTACCGCCCGTGAAATCCACGCTTCCGACATCAAAATAACAAAAACGAGAGGGAGAGAGAAAAATTGAAGTAAGCAGAAAACATCTTGAGACCAGCATGTATTAATCCGGTTACTCAATTTTGGGCTATGACTAGCATGAGTCCTTATTTTAAGCTTCGAAAGGTTTCCTCTGCCAAAGCGTGACAAAGATCTCACGTAATATGGGTGAAAGTGTAATGGGCCTATCTTAGGCGTTCCGCGCTGGGCAAAAATTGAACGATTTCAGGAATCAATCGATCACGGCTGATGCAGGACGCGCCCTGTCACATCACGTGCCTTCATTGCCGTGATGTTTCCCTTTTCTGCGGGTGGCAAATTTCTGCCTGTGCTACATCTCTGTCTACGACCTGCTGCACCTGCGCCGCGCACTCGTGTCTGGCAAATGTCTGCCATGAAATACAGCTCCGCAGATGCTGCGCGCGGTGTAAGCCGCCGCGCCGCAAGTCAGATTATAGACCAAGCTGGGATGCGGTATGCCAGCTGGACGGAGTTTGAAGTGTTGGCAGGGTCTGGACAACCCACTCAGGTGAGCTACTCGCCATGATATACTCAATATTGCACTTATCTCGTTGTGCTTGTCAAGGCTGTCGGGCGTGGTGAACTAGAGGGAGGCAAGCCAGACTCAGCCGAGATAGCTGTTCCTATGGCGCCAGCACTACTTGCACAGTCGAATACATCTTCCTACGAAGAAAGACTTCGGCCCTTCCTGAACAGAGCGCCACGAGCATCCTCCGAGCTCCATGCCAGTCTCGCAACCTCATGTCCAAGTACAGTCATACATGACACCAGTGGACGCGTGTATGGGGACAAAGTGAGCGCATTGTTTTGCACAACCTATATATCTCTGAAGTGTGCAGAATTATCTCAATCAAAAAGCAGCTGGCCAATCTTGCAGCCCTTGCGTCGAGCATGGCCTTCTTTGTAACTCGGCATCGCATGGTGCGTCATGCACGCAATGCCAACTGTTGTCACGGACGTGTACTTACGCGTCTGCACCCTCCGAAACCATTGAACGAAAGCGCGCGCAGTCACCTGAATCACCTGGTCTGGTTAAGCGGCGCAGGCTTGATCTAGTACGCTGTCGTAGTGTTCGTTACCTTATACATTATTCATAAACCTGACAGGCACCAGGACCCAGCGCGCCCGCAGACGGAGCCCGTCCGACATCCGATTCTGCATCGATGATAGCGCATGCTCAGCTCTTGGCTTGTGATCACTTCCAACGGCACGGCCTACCGTGTATCGCCCCCGTCCCAGGCGCGCCCTGCAATGCGTGTGTCTCCGCGTCGCACAAGATATGTAGTATTGCGACCAAAGCGCCGTGCTCGCGCTGCCGATACATGGGTATGGAATCGAACTGCGTCTGGACGCCTGGAGAGCCATGTGCAGTCTGTGTGCGTGCGGGGAAGAATTGTCAGTTCCCGCGGCCGGTATGCACCGCCTGCGCTGCTGCCAACGCAAAAGCGCTCACCGAGCGGGGCCACACCTCGTTGGGGCGCTGCTCTGCGTTCCGGTGGGGCGTGCCATGCGACACATGTTACGCTCAGGACATGCTGTGCAGCCTGGAGACGCTTTGGAAGGAGATGCCCGCACGCATAGGCCCAGAAAAGGAGGGAACGGAAGTGAAGAAGAACCGGGCGTCCAAGACGGGGAGAGAGAAGAAGCCATGGGCCAAGCCATAGCAGCTTCTGTCGCGGCAGAAGCTTCGGCAATATCATCCATAATCACGAGCATAGCAGCGGAACCGCGTACAGCAGTAGAGCCACCTACAGCAGCGGAACCGCCTACAGTAGCACAATCGCCTACAGCAGCGCAACCACCTACCGTAGCGGCTCCGTCGGCGGGCGCACAACGTCAGGGCAGACTAAGGATTAGAGATATCTCTGTCGCGATCATCCCGCCTCGAACATCTCGTCCTTCACCAGCCACGCCTGTCACAATTCCTGTAGTTGAGTCTGACTCATCCGATGAGGAGCCTCTTTCCCGCAGCCACCAGCGCGCCGCATCGTGTCGCAGAGCGACTGTACACGATGGCGAGGTCGTGACGAATAAGCTTACCTCTCTCCACTCCAACCATGTTGTCGACTCAGAATCTGAGCTTTCTTCCCTGTCAGACCTTGACTCTGACTCAGACGCGGAGTCTTATCCTCCATCGCAGACGAACCCTACGGCATCCGCACAGGAACACATCCTCCACCGAAGTCACCTCGATCCGCAACGCTCGGCGCTACCTGTCACGACCGTGCAGCGCAACTTGTACGTGTCAAGGCCAGCGGCGAGGAGCGCGGGTTTGGCACACAACGAACACGCGGCCTACGCGCCTGTTGTATTTCGAAGAGGCGAGCACGATGCTCTGGAAGAGTGCGGACACACACAGGAGATGCGTCCACTCACGCTGCTCGACGTTCAGGAACCGCTCCCGCCAGAAGTAACGCTATCCCTGGGGACGCAACCCACCGACAATGACGGCGATGCCACTACTGACATGCCAAAACTCAAATGGAGGAGGTTCGTCGCACATGACGACGTCGCGATCCGAGGCGAGAGTGCTATGCCAGCAGTTGACTCCGAACGTGTCGATTGGCCGCACCCCCCGCCAGTACGCCAAGGGCACACTGCGAGCACGGTGGTAGCAGACAGCGGGATCACCGTCAAATCCGAACCCGTTGACGGGACAGCAGTGTTACATCCTTTGAGCCGCTCAGCGGGCGTGAGCGCGCCGGAGACATCTAGGAGAGACAGTATTGGCGCAGCAAGTTCATTGCCTGAAATGGACGGCACCATCGATGTTCGCCGCACGCCAGCCGAGTCTGCTGCGCTCGCACCAGTCAAGCTCGAAAGCACCGACAGCGAGCCGCCGTTTAGCGAAATCAGCTCCTTGACGACCAGCCACGGATCGTCCCCATCAGGCCCTTCGCCCCTTGCTGGGTCCCCATACCCCGTCCATGCGACCACATGCCCCGACGCCCCGCCTTCCGTGTGCGAGCATGTCGGCGCACAGACCTTCGAGGGTGCAGCACTGCCAGTGTGGGACACACATGCGTCACCGGACAGCACCAGCTCTGCGGCACTTGTGCAGCGGGTCGCGTCACTCGAGGCGATCATTGCACGGCTCTGTACATTGCTCGAGCGGCGGGACGAAGGCGTGGGCACGGGGATTTGAATGGAAGGGGTTGTCCGTTTCGCTGGTAGAGTCTCGAGCCTCAGGCCTCAGCGCTCAGCCTTGATTAGGGATGGAGATAGATTTTTAACCTGGAAACATAGTATATAATACAGTTACATCCAGGCTACCTCCTTAATACATACTTACATTCGCTTCTACCACGTCAGCTAGAAACCAGCGTATTAATATATACTCCGTCTTCACAGACGGACAGAACTGGGGTCGACGTGATCGATATCTGATACTCGCTCACTACTTGGACACCGGCGTAAATGGGCCCGCTCCTTGCATCTTCCAGACCATTATGACAATATTAGGAAGCGCATGCTCCAGGAGACGGATTGAATGAAGGCTTGACACGTTATCCAGACACGCGGCGCGTCGTCGTCCGGTGGGTAGCCGATGCTAAGGGCCTCGAGCTTTCACTAGCACTCCTCCTCCCCCTGTTTCTCGTCCTCTGCACGGCTGCTCATGCTGCTGCACGATGTTGCTGCACGATGTTGTGTAGATCGCACAAGACAAGCATGTATCGTCGGACGACGGACTGCTGCAATTCGTGCCTATAGAGGCGAATTTTGAGCACCTTCCCCCTCACCTGTGTTAGAGGTCGAGGCGTCGACGCAGAACGGCTGGAGGGGCACTCAAAGAGTATACACTTGGAGAATGAGGGCTGTAGGAGGTCCGCTCGTTCCCAGTCTCCTCGGCTGAACATCCTCTGCCTCACATAGCGGTCATTTGCACAGCAATATTAATGGTAGGTAAAACGAGCGATGATTAGTCGGAAAGGCGCATCTCTGCAAATACGGGACATTTATAAGCCATCTTCATCGGTAGACGGAGTACAGCAGAAAGCTTACAGCGCGGGAGTCAGAGCAAGGATATGAGTTTTCAAGCGAAAGATGTTGAGGGGCGAAGCCTTGTCTGAATGTCGACCCCAGTCGGACTCGTTCTACTTTGCTATTCATTATCGCTTTGCTCAGGATGCCGCGTGATGTTCAGGGTTTGCGAGACGCGAAGGAGTATGAGTTACATACAAGGGTCGACAAACGCTACATGTAATGTTTGAAAGAGGGCACCTCGTTGTCATTCCCAAGATTGCTTCTTCCATGCTTCGACTGGCTCTCCGTTCTCCGATCCAGGAATCATACCAGCAGTGCGCAACATGTCTCATACAGGCGTTACGTCGTCCCCGTTTATATACTCTTTCGAACTCGCTGAAGGACGTCATCAGCCGGGCATATCATCAGTATACGAGCAGCACTCACTCATGGAAGACTGGTCAAAAGACTAGCGCAGACTTATCTTGCCAAAAACTCTTCAAATCCGCACTTTCTCTTGCCGCGTGAGCTGAGCGCATAGTCATCGCTCCGAGCAACGCAGTCCGCTGCGCAAGTTCCCGAGACGGGTGCAATCCGGCGACGCGTGCATGTCCCAAGTGTCGATTGTTACAGGTCTATACGTCGATATACGCGTACTTGAAATGTTGTTGAGGGATAGGGTCCAGTGGGTGAGATGTAGGCGCACAACAAAGCACGGAAGACTTGACGAGGCTTGCGCATCGTAAGCAGCCGTCGAGAGAGAAATACAACTTGCGGTCGGTACTATCGAGTCTGGTTTCCCTTTTGCGTGTAATGCTGACCTATAACGAGTGCCGCTAATGTTGTCTGGCGAGCACACTGTGCTGAGGATAAGTGGGTGGGGACACGGTGTTGTGCAAGTGGTTTAGCAGGGAAGTAAACAAGTAAGAGGAATGATGAGAAAGCCTGCAGTACTGTCTGGCATCCTAGGCGTTATAGTGTATCTGAGGGAACGGCGTCGACGAGGGTGAAGCCTGGAGATGGGCGAGTCAAAAAAGCGCAGCCAGACGCCTAGCTCGTCCCTCATGATTGGACCGTTCGCATCAAGCGATTTAGTGGGCGAGTACGGCCCGGAACGTCCGTATGGGGACCATTCGTCAAGCCATTTGCCAGCATTAATCCAGCGACCAGCTCCGAAAGTCGATGCGCTGCGGTCTGGCATCCGAGGCCTGAAAGGAGGTAGATGTAATTCTCCCAGCAATTTCAGCCTGATATGGATCCGATGGGAAATATTTGAGCAGGCTTCGCAGCTGTTGAACCGAGCAGATGCTCATCGTGCCGGACACTTCGTGGTCAGTGCAGCGGGCAAGGGCGTCTGACCTCGACGAGTACATCGCCTCCACCAGCATTGACAAACAACCATTATGGGAGGGTGGCCTCGACAACGGTGTTCACCGCTCGCGGTGCACCCGTCTTACACCTATACTTCTTTCGCTCGCATTCTGACAGTTGCAGTGCATGAAGCAGAACGAGCTACAGCCTCGTTGAAAACGGCTGTCTTCCGCAGCTCGAGCATTCATACACGAGATCTCAACAAGGATCAAATAACTTCGACGTGTAAGTCGCATGGATCCGAATATCGTGCACCCGAGGCTGATGTCTCTACAGTAGTTCCGCGCATTTCGCATTTCTTGCTGTAAGCCCACAACAGCATCAGATATACTTCGCCGTCGTTCGGATTCTAGCGACCATAGTAGCAAGAACTAAGTCCAATGGACACCGTGATGCTGTGCTACTACCGACTCCAGAGAGCACTCGGCCGCAAGACTGACGGAAATGAGGCGAAGCTCGAAGTTTCGTTATATCCGTACGTAATATCCACTGGCTTCTATTTCAATACACTCATCGTTTACACAGACGGCTGCAGCCTATTGCCATCGAAGCTACGTCAAAACGGCGAAGATGAACGGCTGAACGGTGGTTATTGTAGGGGCCGCTCCCGACAAGATATCATCTACCACAATACAGAGCACGCCAAGTGACTAAGGTGGGTGCGCTACAAGGCGACGGGCAGGCCTGTTATGAAAGTAGGTCGCGCTGGATGAGCGAAATTTTGAATGCCGCATGAGAGGACCGATGTTTAAAGGCGTAAGGAATCCCCTTCCTTCACTCATTTTCCTCAATCCACATCATGGACGTCAAGGATCCCGACTTGCGTACTCAGTCCCACAGCCCCGATGATATTCGGGATGGAATACGTTCGGAGCATTCTTCTGAGAAGCAACCCACGACTTTCGGTGTGCCTATAGCTGAGATAACTCTCGCTCCAATCGATCACGGGTTCTCTGCATGGGCAACTGTGAGTGGCGTGTGTGCCCATTCTCGTATAATTCACTAACCGGGAACAAAGGTGGTCTCATCTAGTATTCTTGGCTTCTTCGTATGGGGATTCCCAAACTCTTCGGGTGCACTCCTCGCGGCGTACTTGCAGGAGCCACTCTACAGTTCACAGAAGCACGCAATGTCCACCCTGCCGCTGATTGGCACCCTCTCCACAGGTATTTTGTATTGCTCAGGTATCACCTCCCCTTGTACAAGTTTCCCCGGGTCGACTGATCGCCGCCTGCAGGAATTGTTATTTATCCGCCAATGTATTATTACCCGCGCCTTCGCAAGCCGTACCTGTGGTCTGGGGTTTTTATTTGTTTTCCTAGCTTGCTCGGGGCAAGTTTTACCACGAACGTACGTGTGTTTCTGCGGTGCTGACTGACATGCGTGCTGAGACTCACAGTTCAGGTGACCCTGTTGATCTTCCTGCAAGGAGTGATCTATTCAATCGGCGCCTGTACGTCACCGCCACTGCTTTCAAAAGTTTGTGACCCTGCCTAACTGGTCATAGCTCTGGTCTACTACCCTATCCTCTCGTACTTGTCCGAATGGTTTGTGCAGCGCCGGGGCTTGGCAAGTGGGATTGTTGTTGCAGGTATGCCCCTTCAATTTCCACACGACGAAGTGTGAGCAGTTTCTAAACAACACTGCCCCGCGCAGCTGACAATGCCGGCGGTGTTCTCTTTCCCATCATCATACCGGCCCTAATCTCGCGGTTCGGAATCATGTCAACAACGCGTATCTACGCAGTCGTACTGGCAGTATGCCTGTTGCCCGCGATCCCGTTCATGAAAGCGCGTCTTCCCGAATCGCCCGTGCACGGTTCCACACTGCGCTCAGCGACACGTTCGTGGATGCATGACCGCAGGTTCTGGTTCTTCATTGTGATCAACACGCTCCAGGGCTTCGCACACTTCGTGCCTCTCATTTGGCTGCCAAGTGCGTCCCCATCTTTCGGTTCGTAGCGCCGCACTTAGCAACGCACTCATACACCCTCTGTAGCATTTGCAACCTCGCTCGGCCTCACGACAAGTCAAGCATCGTTGACGCTGACACTTTCCAATGCCACCGCCATCATTGCCGGGTTCGCAGTGGGTTGGCTCAGCGATCGGTGCAACATCTGGGCGCTCGCGTTCTCAGTGTTGCTGCTCAGCTCGCTCGCAACACTCGTGCTGTGGGGTGTAACATCGTTCTCGTTCGCCGGCGTCCTCGCGTATGCCGCTGTGTACGGCATTACCGCGGGTAGCTGGTCGAGTCTGTGGAGCGGATTTGTGCGACCCATCGCGCGTATGCCTTCTTCTTATCCTGCTTCTGACTGTCATCTGATTATGTTTTGTATATAGTAGGCGACCCATCTGTTGCGACCACAATAATCAACTTCATGATGCTGAGTCGAGGGATTGGGAATATCGCGTCTACGCCAATTTCTACTGCCCTTCAGCAAGCGAAGCTTGTGGTTGTACTGGGCAGCGGCGCAACAAAGACTGGCTTCGCAGTCGATGGCGGGCGGTACACTGCGGTCATCGTCTATACTGGGGCATGTTTTGCGTGTGCGTCGGCTGTTACCATTCTGGGCTGGTTTTTGGACAAGAGACGAGACATGAAGCGAGCTGATAATGTACGCAGCAACTGAATTAACCTATCGTTTTGTTATGCTCTGGGGCCACATTGCAGATAATTCGATATATGTGCAGATTTCTGTGTTATGCTATACCATAAACACCCAGGTGGTGTATTGAGGCACGTAACCAACGAGTAGAACGCGGGTGTCCGTGCGCAATGGGCCTGGGGTTCAAAGGGCTTGACGAGGCTACTGGCGCGTCGTTCGTGACTGGTTGTCGATAAAGCAGTACCTTCTTGTTGTATCATTGCTTATATTTCCAATAGTAAATTGAGTGACATCCCATCTGCCGGTAACACCATCGCGCGTTCCTTTCAAGAGTCCTAGGGCCGTATGCATGCAGAACCCGCTGCGGGCCGGCCCGCGCGAGCAGGTACAACTTGGCTAAGCCCAGAATAACATCACAGCGGCGACAGAAGCACAAGATTAGTCGTGGATTTCACTATGCTACAGTGACGACCTAAAGTATTGCAACAGACCTCAGAGGGGTGTTAAGATTCCTCAATATCTCCACAAATATTACAGATGGCTGGACACATTGTATATGGTTTCTAAACTGGAAAACTAGCTGTATTTTCTCAAGGTATTGCCTTGTAGTAGAAGGTGTATGCTGGAAGAGTATATCAAAAATAGCTGAAAATGTGCATATTGATCACATAATTTGTAGTATAATACAGACTGTAGAATAAAATTGACTCTGCACATATTAAAATGGAGCTAGTTGTATAGTATGTGTACAAATATAATAATGTGATTAGGCATCCATTTGAATGAACTGTAGGGCATATCACATTGGCTTGTTTCTCTTGCAGCAGTTTGCACATATCTAACTCCACAATGTGGAGAGAAAAGTTTCCCAAAATCTGTTCACAGTATGTACTTTACTAGGAGATATATAGTAGCAAAATATAAGAACTTCAGCACCTGATTATGTTTGAAGCGTATGAGTATACACTGTTGCATGTTGCAATGAATGTGATATGCCCTACAGTTCATTCAAATGGATGCCTAATCACATTATTATATTTGTACATATACTATACAACTAGTTTCATTTTAATATGTGCAGAGTCAATTTTATTCTACAGTCTGTATTATACTACAAATTATGTGATCAATATGCACATTTTCAGCTATTTTTGATATACTCTTCCAGCATATACCTTCTACTACAAGGCAATACCTTGAGAAAATACAGCTAGTTGTTCAGTTTAGAAACCATATACAATGTGTCCAGCCATCTGTAATATTTGTGGAGATATTGAGGAATCTTAACACCCCTCTGAGGTCTGTTGCAATACTTTAGGTCATCACTGTATCTTACATCATCTGTCTGTAGCATTGAAGCTATACTGTTATGCTTGTAATTTGCATGATTCGAAGGTTGCTGCTATATGCTACATGTCTCGACTCTCTCAGTGGCCTGTACGGTATTTGCCAGTAGCTTGACAGGTTGCATGCAAAAACCGGCATTCCAAGGAGATAGCATACTCATTAAATGGTATTACTGATGCTTCAATGACTGTAGGCATGTCCGTGAAGACTTCTCTTGCGCTCATGCCCAAGTTGACCTGGTCCCAATATGATCAAGTATGCGGGCAGAAGGTCAGGTCGGTGCGACACATCAAAGCGAGATATATGTGTCTGGTCTCGCGTCCAGTTACCATACCAATACAGATGGTGGATCACGAGGCCAAAACATCCTTGTCTGCCCAGGATAAGCGAGGCATGCTCGACACAATATTAATGAGCTTAATGCCTGAAGAAGACAATACTTGAAGATAATCGTGAGCAGAATAAATACTTCAGCTAAACATAAATATATGTTACAGCCATTTGCATAAAGTTTGTCAAGTACTTCGACGGGCGAGGGAAAAGAAAGAAAGAGCCCAGAAGACACAGGGTGGTAAGCAGCTTTTTTCTTGAAGAAACCCGGCCAAAATTGGGAAACAAGAATCAATTGTTCCCCGGTTGTACATTGGGGTAAATTAGTGCGCAAATTGGTGCAAAACCGGCCAAAAGAGGCTGAAACGCGACAAAACTAGCGGAAAAGGAAGGTTTGTCTTCAAATTTTCTCGAATGAAAAACGGTTAAACACAGGTTCTTGTTCGCCTAGCTTTTGGTTGGTTATGCAAGCAAAAAAACTGCACCTACCATCTACTTAGTGAGACCAACTCGAGGCATTGAAACAGACGCCCTTTGCTCATTGGCTAGGGCGAGCGCCAAATGTAACGAAGGCGCTCTGATATGAATATGCTGGATAATCATCGCTGTCTGTACGATAGCTAGTATTTTAAATTATATGTAGAGCCAGAAGGTGCCGATACTATGCACGAACATCACTAATCTCTGGCGCCTAATAATCGACGCCAGTGCCTTGATGTCTCTTTTCTTCCCTCCCCCACCGAAGTGACAAACGCGACGCAAATGGCTGTAGACGGCGGACCCGTGCTGAGGAAGAGCTGAGACATACCCTCACGGAAGGAGCTAAAGGCTATTTGCTCGCTGCAAGGATTCACCGTGGTCAATCTGAGGCCTCTTTTCGAAAGATGTGCCGGTGAAACGGAATCGGCGTCGTACGTAGCCGACGCCTGCAAGTCTCAAAGGCTCACGGAAGTTCTGACGTCCAAAGGCGTCAAGTATCCCATTTGTGACGGCCGCTTCAGTCTGAGTCACGGTGGTCGCGAGCCCCGGTTAGCATCCGCCCATCGGATCGAGATCTTCGCCTCCGCCCATCGGATCTAACTGACTTTTTTTTTCTGCCTTCTATGTCCCGGTAGCTGTAGTATATGCACTCGCCGCTGCCGATGTTAGAGAAGGATGTTGGAGGTTACGGGATGTCGCAGATACTGCCTAATATCTCTGATATTGCCTAACATTCCTAACAAGGGATGCGGTCTTCCTGAGGGCCGATTGGCCCAGGCGAGAGCTTAAAACTCGCACTTCGAGGGGAGGAAAATCTAACTCTTTTGCCTCAGATACACCGTCCGTACCTCAGAAGAGCTACCGAATAGGTGAGTGATGAGCTACGCGCGAATTTGCGCATGGAAGCTCATACACGTCGCGGATCGGCTACATTGCCGTGCGCTTCTCGCGCGTTCGAGGTTCTAGCAGTCGTCGAAAGCAACTAGCTAATATCTCGGTTCCTTTAGGTAAACTCCCTGGTCATATTCGTCGACGACTGCACCGGCCGCTGTGCTGACCTCAAGACAACCCTCACACCTTTCCCCTACCAATTTGCCTCGGTTCTTTCCATGGAGTTTATTGGGCCCACAAAAGCCGGCAACGCCGACGGCGTCCAGAATGAGATACGTTCGAGGGACTCTCCTGAAAAGCAGCCAATGTCCCCTAACAGGCCCGTAACTGAAATTACTCTCGCTCCAATCGATCGCGGATTTTCTGCATGGGCAACGGTAGATGACATTATATGACTATCCGTGTGCGCTCCCTTACCCTGGGTTATAGGTCGTTGCGTCCAGTGCTCTGGGCTGTTTGGTCTGGGGGTTCCCAAATTCTTCCGGCGCGCTCCTTGCAGAGTACATGAAGGATCCACTTTACAGCTCACAAAAGAACGCAGCGTCTACTCTACCGCTGATCGGAACACTCTCTACGGGTATTTTATACTGCTCAGGTATCAAGTCCGTTTTCTGTGATTCTCCTTGATAGACTCATTCCTTGTACAGGTATCATCATATATCCCCCAATATACTATTACCCACGCCTTCGCAAAATTTACCTGTGGTCTGGAGTTTTCATATGTTTCCCTAGCTTGCTCGGTGCGAGCTATACTACGAACGTATGTCTGCTTTCGCATCGCAATGCCAAACATGCGTGCTGACACCCAAAGCTCAGGTGAAGTTGTTGATCGTCCTGCAAGGGGTGGTCTATTCAATAGGCGCCTGTACGTCGCCTTCGCTGCTATCAAAAGTCTGTGACCCTGTCTAACTGGCCATAGCACTAGTCTACTATCCTATCCTTTCATACTTGTCCGAATGGTTTGTGCAGCGCCGGGGCTTGGCGAGTGGGATTGTTGTCGCAGGTGCGTTCCTTCAGTTCCTACAAGGCAGAGCATGAGCCCTTCCTAAAAGTTCTGCGTAGCTGACAACATCGGCGGCGTTCTCTTCCCCATAATCATACCGACCCTCGTCAAGCACTTCGGGATTATGATAACAACGCGCATCTACGCAGTCATGCTAGCAGTATGCTTGTTGCCTGCAGTTCCATTCATGAAGGCACGTCTACCGGAATCGCGCGTGGGCAGTCCCACGCGCCATCCGGCGACACGTTCGTGGGTGCACGACCGCAGGTTCTGGTTCTTCGTCACTATAAACACGATCCAGGGTTTTGCGCACTTTGTGCCCCTCACCTGGTTACCAAGTGCGTCCGCACCTCTCAGGCCTTGGTGTGACACTAGGCAACAGACTTACACGCCCTCTGTAGCATTCGCAACCTCACTCGGCCTCACAACAAGTCAGGCTTCGCTGACGCTGACGCTTGCCAATGCCACATCCATCATCGCCGGGTTCGTGGTGGGCTGGCTTAGCGATCGGTGCAATATCTGGGCTCTCGCATCCACATTGCTACTGCTCAGCTCGCTCGCGACACTCATGCTATGGGGCGTAGCATCGTTCTCGTTCGCGGGAGTCCTCGCGTATGGAGCGGTTTACGGTGTCACCGCGGGTAGCTGGTCGAGTCTGTGGAGTGGATTCGTGCGGCCCCTCGCATGTAAGCCTTCTTCTCATCTTGGTCTTAATTGCCGTCTGAATATGTCGCTTGTACAGTGGGCGATCCATCCGTCGCGACCACAATAATCAACCTCATGATGTTCAGCCGCGGAGTTGGGAGCATTGCGTCTACGCCAATTTCTACTGCACTTCAGCATTCGAAACTTGTGGTTGCACTGGGCAGTGGCGTAACAAAGACCGGCTTCGCAGTCGATGGAGGGCGGTACACTGCCGTCATCATCTACACCGGTGCATGTTTCGCGTGTGCAGCTTCTGTCACCGTTTTGGGTTGGATTTTTGACAAGAGGCGAGGCATAGGGGGAGCAGAAGAGGCATGCGATGTGTTCCGTGATCGTATCACGGAGAAGGCGTGATAATTATGTATTGTGCCGCACGCTAAGTCTAATTTGAAGTGCAATATTTGATAGGCGCCATAGATAAGTCATATGCAAGGCAAGCAGGCATGAAAAGTACGGACCAAGATAATAATAATAAAAAGGTTGTATTCTTGCGAAAACGTCACGTGGCTAATCTGATCCGATCACGTCGCCACAAAGTCCCGGCTAGGCGCTTTTTTTGCGCTGCAAAATTGGCCGCGACCTTGTCCTCGGCGACGTTGTTCTCTCAGAACAGGTTGCAATTTTAGCGCTACAGAAACGCAACCCTTTCCTCACGTGTCACACCCGCTGCCGGACTGGTCGCACAGGTACAGTATCAATTTTGACCCTCTCTCCCCCAACAGCACCACTGTGTCTTCAAGTAAGCAGCCCTGATTTCAATAGTGTATTCGGCATCCCGCTAGCCAGCTACCACAATGTACCGCCTCCAGGAGGACCACATAATGATGAACGTACACTGGCCGCTTGCAGTTCGGTCTCGTGGATTTAATTTGTTCCCGCGCAGCAATGTCTCTTCCGATGACTCCCCTGTGCGCACTCGACACACTGATAAAGCTCGGCGACTCCATCCAACGCCTTTTCTCCGCGGGTGTTCTCTAGTACGACATTGTGTGTAGCAGCACTGCTAGTAGGCCCTGTGGCACATGTCTATGCGGGCCGCCGCTGGTGCGTCGCTCTTGTCATCCGATACTAGTATTCTCCATCTGACTCGTCGGTTGCACAGACAGAGGGCAGTCCATCTCACGCGACGATGATCTCCGGCTTCGTGTTGAATCACTGACCGTTGTAACCTTAGTGCACAGTTAATATGATTCTCATCGCTCACTAACGCATGGAATGCTACTATGCCAAAAATATTTCGCGTCAACTACATGCTACTCCTTCCGTCGGGCTTCTCTATTAAATATACATGGGTCATCCTTTGTTTCATTGGAGACGTAAATATTTGATTCAATGAAGGAAATATGCATCCCTGTTTAACCACTGTCAGCACTAGTTTACCTTTAACATGCCGCCCCCTAATCACCTTCGCAACGAGCCAGACCTTGATAGTTTCTAAAATGACGTACTTAGTGCCTCGCAGAAGTGTACTGCCGACCTTGCGAGCTCGGATTTCACAGCATAAGAGCTCGCCACTTTCGTCTTGAGATCGGAGCTTAAGTGTCTCCGTCTCGTGGTCGGACTCGTCTTCCTCGCCCTCGCGATCGATGCTAACGGGCCCATACGACATCATGTCCATTCTCCGCTCCCACCGGACCTGCGTTCTGCTGAGCTGTCGCACTTTCAGATAGATTTAGATATATAAGTGCACGGACACCCTAACGCTTAAGACCATGGTCATCTATTGGAAATCTACCTTATGCTGCCTTCAAAATCTGTCTCATATAGGTCCGGCGCAGCCATAACATTAGGCACTCAGATGTGCCATAATGCAATATGAGACCGAATGTCGAAGGGACCGCCACATCCTCGGAGCACAAGCTTGCCGTAAACTGTGTCACCATCGTCAGTGAAACGACTTGCGGTAGGATCTCCTGAGAACTGACCTCCACGACCGCACAACGTCGGATCTACTTTACCTCTATGCACCGACGACATCTGGTCTGAGCGCACCGCGTTCAGCTCCTGTAAGCCACTTGTAAGCTGCTGGCTACGCGCGACAGCCCGCAGGACGCACCGCGGCGCCAGTTTCGCGCAGCACCTCGAGCCGCTCGAGCATGTCGCCGGCGCTGGACTCTACACGCTCTTCGATGAGTCTCGGATGGGGCCCATAAACTTTTCGACTCCAGGGACGAGGCCTCGACCCTGAGGCTCGAGTATGAGGTGTCTGCTGGCATGAGCGCCCTTAGGCTAGCGCTGCAGGCTATGTTATCATGAGACGAACTGAAAATACGCGCACGCCCCACTCACCGACACTGCCCCTTCTAGCTGCCCCTCTAGCCGCTTGGGCACCCGAATCATTCGGCTGTCCTCCCGCCGAACTACAGATGGAGCCGCTCGACTGTGACTTCTGAGAATGGAGCGCGCGTATGTCTTGTGAAAATCGTGCAGCATCTTCAAGCTGTGCAAGAGAGTGGACCGGCGGTGAAACGATGTAAGGGTCGGCTGAATCAGAGGCAGATGAGCGCGACTTCATGGAAGGTCCCTGCCGTCGGTCGTCGCAAGTATTTTACTCCGTGCCTCGACCGCCCATCTCACTAAGAGGATGAAGCCTGCCCCTGATGGATCTTCACTCATGAATCACATCAGGATCGACAAACACTAGATGTCACGTTTCAAGGAGGGTACCTTACTGCTGTTCCTAAAATTGCTCCTAGGAATCACATCAGCAGGACCTGGCATATCTCACATGGGCGTTGCACTATCAGACACTTTTGAGCTCGCTAAAGGATATCAGTAGAATTTAGAAATGCATATTATTAGTATACAAGCAGCACTCGCTCGTGCTAAGTTGGTCCAAAGCCGTACAGCTGTCGCTCCGAGCGGCGCGGTCCGCTGTACAAGTGCCCAAGAATCAGTCCGATGATGCGAGCGTGTCACAAATATGGACCATCAAAAGTCCATATGCCGACGTGCGCGTGCGCAAGATGTTGTATTGAGGGATGTGGTCCAATGGGTGGGATGTAGACGTGCAGCAAGGCGGGAAACACCTCGTGAGGCCCGCGCGTCGTGAATGGTCGTCGAGAGGGGAACACTACTCACATCTGACACCCTCGAGTCTGGATTCCACTTTTGTGCACATGACTAATCCATAATCGGTGCCAATGATGTTGTCTAGCGAGCGCGCTGTGCTGAGCAGTGAGGGCAGGTGGGCGGCGACGCGGAATCAGCTTTGCGCAAATAGCCTGGCAAGAAAGCGGAAAATTAAGGAGAGCCATGAGAGGGTCTGCAGTGCCGTCTGCCATACTAGGCATCATGATTTGTCTGAGAAAACGGTGTCGACAAGGGCGAAGACAGAGAACGACCTGAGGGTGGGCGAGTCAAAGGGCGGCGCCTAGGCGCCTGACTCGTTGAGTGGCTTTATAATGATCGGATCAGCGGGATGCACTTCCGCGCCGATGACAATAAGTAAACAAGCATGCATTCATGGATTGTTTCGTGAAAATATCTATCACTTTATTTCGCTTGTTACAGCTCTTCTGGTTCTCCTTACTACCAAAGCGTCTCCGCCTTTCCGAGTGCGTGCATCAGCGCAACGCGGCAGGAGAGCGTGGAAATCAGAACTGACAATAATGATATCTGCCTCCCAGGACTCGGAACTCCTTGACGACGATCACATCCTTTGCTCGCATATCGACGCTCGCACGCTGGCCGCTTGCGGCTCGGTCTCACAAAGATGACTTTCTCCCATGCGACAATGTCTCTTCCGACAACTCGCGCGCGCACATCTTATACACCTCCAGCGTTCAACGGCTCCGCCGTCGCCGTCTCTCCTTCGCGGGTGACATTGCATACGTCGTTGCGTACAGCAGCGCCGCAGGCTGCTGGCCGAAGTCCACCGGTAAGGCATGTGAGGCGAGTCCTTGCAGTCCGCGTCACTTTCGTACCGGTCATTCTCTGCGTGGACGGAGGGCAATTTATCTCATGCGACAGTGATCTCTGGCCTCCTTGCAATCTTTGTTCCCCTTGTTTTAAGTGCTACCGATGTAGAATGATGTACACCGTCCACCACAGTGTTGGTTGGTTAACGAACCAAGTAACCAGTTAAAGGTTGACTATTGTGACTAGTCATTGACTAGTTAATTAGTCACCCGCTAACTCTAACTAAACGGCTCTCCGGGTCCATCCACGTGACCTCCTGAGACGCACTGGGCGTTTACTAACCGAATGGCTTGCTGCGTCCTCGGCGACTCCTCGAGGTCTGCGCATGGACTTCGTCTTATAGTTTAAACAAACGCAACTTTTTTTTTTACCCTCTTCGTCTCCTTTGCGCTGAGTGTGCCATGTCCGGGCGGAAACCAGGAAGAACTGGCTGGTGGAGGAGGCATTTCATCGACCATCCGCTTAAAGGCAAGCATGTCTCGCCTTCTCGACGACTCCTGCGTTCTGATTGGTCCTCGGCAGTTCCCGACATCAGGACCCGAAACCGCTTAGTTACAGTTCGTCTAGTCAGGTCATTAACTACTTAACTAGTCATTTACTGGTCATTAACTAGTCATTAACTCGCGCAACACTGGTCCACCAGGCCTCATATAGCGCGTAACTACGTGACTAGCGCCAGCAGAGGCGCAGGAGTCCAAGCCTTTTGACAGTCGCTGTGACCATAGTGCGCAGTTAATAGGATACCTATGAGTCACTAGCGCATGTAATGTCTCAGTACCATGTGAAATTTCTGCAGTGACTACATACTAAACCAGTGGACAGATGTAGCGTTGTTGTACATATAATCGCCACAGTGGCAGAGGGCTTCGCATAGTCAGCTAGCTACCCGTTTCCTCTGTTGGTATTCCTCCTCTGAGATATACACAACACACTTGTTATACCATGGAGGGAGTGTGAGCTGGTTCGACGGAACAGATATACATCCTCGCTTGACCACCTCCAGCGCTGACTCACCCCCGACTTGCCGCTCTCCAGTCACCTCCGCAACAAGCCAGACCACCCAGGTGAGCTTCAAGATGACGTACTTTACGCCTCGTAGAACCGTACCGCCAACCCTGCAATCTTCTATCTCATAGCAAGAGAGACGGCCGCTTGCGCCTCGAGATTGGAGCTTGAGTGTCTCATGGCCGGACTCGTCTTTCTTCCCCTGGCGATCGATGTCAACGGGCCCATACATTGGAACGGCCTTATGGAAGTAGATCCCTGGCTCAGTCATTTGAAGGCACGAATTGTCCAGAACACTCAGTAGCGCCCCGTGGTCAGGCCTCGAGGTATGAGTGACACGCTCGGGTTGCTCGTATTGCATCAGGACCTGCCACGAAGGGAACAGCGAGATGTCGTCCGGGCAGCATATTACGTGGCGCAAGGCGATCTGCCATCGCGAAAGTGGATCCACATGCTTGAGAAGCGCGGTCCAAGCGCGGTCCGGCGACATGTCTTCGTCGTATATTGGCAGCGTCTCGCAGTTCAGAAGGTATGCGAGGCCGTGAATCCTATCGAGCTCTGTGGTGCAGTGACGTCCCCGCATTGCCGGAACCCCAAAGGCCAAGGCGTCGAATAATGGTACGTGCTTGGATGGTATAGATCGCGGGAGGTGATCTCGGAAGAAACGCCACGTGTCCGCAGATACCGTCCCGGTGGTTCCACCAGGCAACCAAAACCTGGTGGCCTCTTGCGCCGTCCAGACGCGGTTGGACCAGTGGCGATCGGAAGACAATACTTCTGGAGACGGGTCGAAAGGAAGGCCCAGACCGTTAAAATACGTGACGCACGGTACGGGTGGGGACGAGTAGACGCGACCGATGGTAGGGACGTCGAGCTTCCACTCCTCTTTCCTCTGCTCCTCATCTTCTGGACGTCCCCGTTGTCTCAGACACAGAACGTCCATCCAGACATACTCAGCACCGAGATTAAGGAGCTCGACTCGGACGTGGTCAAGGGTGATGTCTCTCGGGGTGGGAACGGGCCACTCGTGGTCGTTGATCGGGGTCGAGACATAGGTGCGAGCGCTTTCATGGACCCAGCTGTGCGATACCGTCCAGACATACGTGGGGATATCGAGCCAGTCGCGACTTGGATTAATGGCATAGAAGGGCAGGACGCGATTACTGTAGAGGTCCCATACCCGTCGTGGGAGCACTCGCGCGTTGCTGATATAGCTACCATCTACGACGTTTTGCCGCATCACTTCGTCCTTGTTTCGCTTTTTAGTAAGGTTGGAGAGCAGCTGAGCGAAGCCGGACTGCCAGTGGGGTCGTAGAGAACCGTAGACTTGGCCAAAGTCTCGTGAGGAACGGAGAAAGTGATTGAGGCACTGCTCCAGCCCCGGCTTGTTCAGTGAGTAGCTGGTCCCGAGGACGTCGTTGAGTCGCTCCAGCAGCTCTGTGACGTTCATGGCAGCGCAGGGTGTGTCTGCAAGGGCGTTCGGTATGGCACCAGGACCGAAGTGGGCCCACTGAAGGGGGACGGAGGAGCGTGGTTCTGGGACAAGTGAGAATGATTTGCCCGGTCCATCGGATGCAAAGAGTTGCTCGAGAGGGACTCCCGACTGTGCCATCTTGATCCTCCCCCACATTGCGAAGTTGCGTGCATGCTCAACGGCGTATAAATCGGACAGGTGGCCTGCACGGTGGACACCCGTAGAGCTCACGAATGGAGCAAGAGGAGCAGTATAATGTTGGATATCCGTTCTTTGCCATGGAGGCTGCTCAACGCGGACGGTTGTCTCTCCAAGTGTGAAGCTCGTCGATGCGCGCTATGCATAGTAGTGTCTCAGCTTCAACTCCTGTTCATGTATTTGTCTCTGGCTTACCGACTTAATCTGACTCTGGTCTGTGCACAACGGCTAAGCAATCAAGTAAAAGTCTCAACGCCGGCGACTTACCATTACCCATCCAGCCTTTGCGATTTGTTCTGGATCGAGCTGATGTATTTGCAGCGTCGCGGCGTATGAAAGAGAGGCGAGCAGCGCGGCGAAGAAAGTAGAGTCGGGTTACAGGATGGCTGCTACGAGACCGTGACCGGCGGCTGGAAATTGGCAACTGCTCTTCCCCGATAAGATGGGCGTCTATTATGGACGTATCGGGAATACCAGTATTGCGCGATTTGGAAGGCAAAACACAGAGGCACCCAAATCCTCCGATATTAGAGACAGTATACATGTGCCCTACCCTGCCTTCAAGAACGACCTTTCATGGATCCAGCGCGATTGTGAGTTTTGGCGCCCAAATGCCGAAATATCAAAGAGGGTGTTCATGGTGTCGCGGTTCGGTGTGTAACCGACGATAGCGGTTTAGGGCAAGCGGGAAGAGATGGCCGCCGTCGGATGGGACCCCGTTGACACCTGACCAGCGGTGAGAGCGACCCTCCGATGCATGGAGGGGAAGCGTCGACTACCGCCGGTGCGCACCGGCCAGAGCTCGAGGGCGCCACCTAGATAGCACTGACGTGAACTTCTCTGTGTACGTTATCAGACGAATAGGATCGTGGGAGAAGGAGCGAAGGAAAAGCTGTGCGTCGGAAACTTGCGTACAAAGCAGTTACAGCCCGAGTATAGTGAATACGGAGAGGGTGATATTCACTTGGCCGTACTCGCTACAGCTGCGACATTTTCGAAGCCAGCGCAACAAGACTGCAGGAGCAGCACAGAGTATATTGAGAGATATAATTCTTTGGCGCGCTTTCCTAACAAGTTTGTGTGTGAAATGATGAGCACATTTACTCGATGTTTGATGCGCATGCAACGTACGAAGTAGCTCAGAATAGGCCGACCGACATATACACAAGTTTGCGCACCCGCGATCTGGTCTTTGAATAGCTGCAATGCGAGGTTGAAATTCGCTATCCAGGCGCTGCAGATGGTGCGAGCAATGGATACAGGAGCCTGTCCCACGGCGCTGTTTAGCACCAGCTTCGGCAGAAGAATAGATGCCGAACTGGACAGAACGCACGTCTGTGGGCCGTGGCAGGTCTGCACGCAAGCACGCATGCGCGCTAGCGCGATAGGGTGTATGGTCGCTGTCATGGTATATGGCCCCGTAAAACAGGGTGAGAGGGTTTAACGGTGACTGGCTGTCGAGATGATGATGTTCGCCGGAAGCCTGAGATGACCTGCTACTAGGGCCCTCAAGCTTGGCTCGAATGAATTCGGCCGATTCGGCTGTGGGAGCTTTGAAGACTCAGGAGTTCAGAAGTCTGTGCGGAAAATCTAGCAGGTGGCAAATGGACAAGCGGATGGCGCCGTGAAGAGAATCCGTAGCACTATGTCGAGCACTTTAAACATGTTTTTCGTTCGAGGGAGCAGCGTCGGCGTCGCAGAAAGGAGAGGCCTGCGCAGGCCATTTAAGCGCCTGATGCACACTTTGTGATCGGATCAATCGAGCCACGCAGAGCCGGAATTGGAGGACAGGCCGGTGCCTTGCGGGCGAGATTGCATACATATATCAAGTGCGCCGCGGGGCCACATACTTTCTACGACGACAATAGCTATAAAAACCCTGACTCTAACACGAATAATCCAGCACGCGCACTCTTGTTTCTGCCTGTACGCTGATACAAGCTGCACATGATTGCTTTGAATGGAAGTTGCACTATAGGATTTTTGGCTATGTCTAGGACCGCACAAGGCTGTTGGAGCAAGCGGTCATGCGGCAAGACATCTCGTTGAGTCGTTGATCACGGCGCCGCTAATCGTGTCCTCGCCTTCACATGGACGCGCTTTGTCGCTGCGGAGGGGGGCTCTGTAGGCTCTATCGTCGTCAGATCGATCGAAGTTGCACAAGGTTCAGCACCACTCACCAGCAGTACGCTTTCTAGCTGCCTTCCTGGCTGCTCGTATCTCCAAGTCGCGGTAGCCACTCAATTAAAGGACGGAGCCATTCGATGGTAGTCTTTCAAGACGCGATGCGCTGCACTTACACCGCCGTCGTGTACGTAACTGACGGTTTACAATCAGAATGATCGAACAAACGCCTGACTGGTCTGATGCTACTCGGCGGACAGCCAGGAGTACAGGCGCGAATTCAATTTGCTAACCGTTAAGTCTCTATTTGTGCCTGACAGGCTAGCCGTTCGCCTAACAGATTCCTGAGCGTGAGGAAACGAGCTCTTCCAACTTGCAACCGTAGCTACGAGCCTACTTCCTGCTAATAAAATATTGGAAGCTTCCTGAGGGCAGTAACTAACCTTACTTGTATCTTTGTTGCATCCAAAATATTTTTCTCGCCACGAACGAAGGATGTGTCCAATGAAACGACTGACTTTGCGAATGCTTCAAGCCTTTGAGCCGGGGACAGCTTTGAACTCCGCTGATGCTCGGCATGCATCGGCATTCCCTCGGTGTGGTTCAAGCGCTTCTTGTCTGCCACGTCTCTTCCTCTCCCATCCTCCATTCACTTCGCGTATACCTTCACTGTATCTTCCTTAAGCTACAGTACAAAATCAGGTTGTGCTACAGCTCAAGGAGTAGCTTCCTGATTGATATGTTCTTTGGTTCAGCAGCACCTACACTACTCTGACGGGTATTGTCACCATATATTCTGTGGTAGTCACAGCTGACGATTTATCTAGATGTGGTAATC